TGTGTGACAAACTATCAGTGCAGTAATGATACTAGAGAAAAAAAAAGAGATACTAGGCTACAAGATTTGCTTTTACTTGAGTTTCTTTTCTCTCTATACTTTTCAGACACTTATTTTAAATTAATGTTCAATAGGCAGTTGAAGAACATCTTGAATGGGCTATCTATGAAGTTTGTACCTTGGAGATATTCTGCTCCATAGAGCTTTCTGGCATGATGGAAATATTGTATACCTATACTGGCCAGTAGGGTAACCTTTAGTCACATATGGCTACTGAACACTTATTATGTGCCTGCTGGGACCAGTGAACTCTGAAATCATTAGATGTGACTAGTCGCTATCCTAGGGTACAGTGTAGTATTAGAGAACAAATGCAATTAACAAAATAATCCTATGTTTAGGAAGTGAAAGATGTTCAATTTTGAGGGGGAGATACTGGGGATCACACAACCTTGCACTTGCCAGACAGGTGCATATGCTATTGAGCCACCCCGTCCCTCAAATTTTTATTACTGGAAATTGTACAATCTGAAGTAGATGACAGATTTTTACTTTAAAAAATTTTAATTAAAAATTTTTTCAGTGGCTGGCACAATAGTCAATAAATGACTGGATGCTGTTAGGTTTCCTGTAATTTATACCCAGGTCACTTCAAATTATGAATTCTGAGTAAAGTTACTTGAGCAATTTTCCCTGGTGAGCACCAAATCTGCTTTTCACAGACATATTGGTATATCTGTGAATTAAGAGTTAGAGAGTATTTTACTATGAGTGCTGCTCTTTGTCTGTGCCCTGCCTGTGTTTCTGTGCTCAGTACCCTGTGAAGCCAGTGGGTTCTGGACTTACCCCTGGTCTAGGCTAAGATATTCCTGAGTACTTCCAAGAAAGTTCAAGGTCTCCTAGAGCCATGCGATGTCTGTGGCTGATTGGAGCATCTCATGGTTTCTGGTCTTATTGTGTCAGGGCATGGTGTTCACTGTATTCATTCACAGCTTCTAAAACAGGTATTACCAATTCAGAATGGATTGACATAAAGGATCTGATTTGTGCCTGATAACACAGTTGAAGAAACTGAAAATGTAGCAGTGGGCTGTTGTCACTGCAGTAGTCACCCCTTATTTTGGGGGAATATATTCAAAGACCCCCAGGAGATGTTTGAAAGCATAGATAGTACTGAACTCTGAGTCTGCTATATATTTCTTCTATACGTGCATAATATATAGGTATTTATGATAAAACTTAATTTACAAATTACACATAGTAATAGATTAACAATAATAAGAGAACAATATAACAATATACTACAATAAAATTGTCAGCATCACTGCTTTTGTGCTTTGGGGCCACTGTTAAATAAAATATGAGTCACATGCACCTCCCTAGCTTGACAATCAGCCTGGCAACCTAAATGTCATGAGTAAGTAGCATAAATCACATGGATGTGCCAGACAAGGGACTGACTCATCTCAAGGGCAGATGGAATGAGACTTGTACAAGATTTCATGATCTTACTCAGAATGGTGCATACTTTAAAATTTATCAATTATTTCTAGTTTGGTATTTCCTGACTCCAGTTGATTGCAAGTAACTAAAAATACAGAGTACAATGAACACAAGGGAGTTACTGTGTATAGATATACTATTTAATAAACATACATTTATTTTTTATTTGCTAAGCATTAGGCTAAGTGCTTTTACTCTCCATAGCAACCATATGTCTACTTATTTATACAACTTACAGGTTAGTTTAGGGAGGTTAAGTGACCCTCTTTGAGGTACACTGGTAGGAAGTAAAGGCACCTGATTCCTGTCTCTACTCTGGTTTTTGAGTGTACACTCTTAACCACAACATTATATAAGAAGGAAAGAGTTTTTGAATGTTGACGCAGAGATCAAATCTAAAGGAACTAGAGTTTGATGATAACGAAGATTTTCTAATCATTCAAGCTCTTTATCATTGGATGGCTTGTACTGTGAAGGACACTTTTCCCTCCATTTTGCAACCCACAAACCCAGGGTTAATGCTGGGGTACAAACTTGATAGAGAGCTGTCTCAATCTCATGCATACTCGTGTAGTAGATGAGCTCTGGGGATCTTTCCAATTCAAGTTTCTTCTGATTATAATTTCCTCTCCTGAGACCATTTGTTATTGATTTATTTCACATAGTGACTTTTCCATTTTGCAGACACTTCCTAAAGATCATTCATTTTTTCTGTGTAGAACCACAGAGTAAACTGCTCATTACTGAATTTGGCATAGTTCCCGTGGCTGAGTCTCTCCCTGTAGCTGAACCATATAGGAATCCAAATCACATTTCACTGGGGAATAAAGACTGGACTAGATCATGGAAACGGAAAGATGATTGCCAAAATTATTCTAAGCAGTTGGCAGACTTTGTTTAATTTTGTTAGATATTAATGACAGGCAAGAGGGGAAGAAAGAAATGCTGTTGGATTCCAAGTTACACAATGAACCCTTCGATAATGGAGTGTGTTGTTATAATTTTTATGCATCCCTTGGTAGTATGGTGTGCCCTTATTTCTTACATGCTTAAATATGCCTTTATTTTCTAGGTGTTTGATAACAATTTGGGTTTTTTCAAATACATTTGCTGTTGAAAGAGAAAATGCGTGGAATACACTAACCAAGTTTGGCATTTGTTTATATTTTCAAAAAATGTGTTGAGTTTCTCTAATTAGAATATAAGTACTTTGGATAGTCATTGAGAATAATTTTATAAGAAGCAGTAGATTTAGAGATTTTTCTCCTTACAAATATTCATTTTTAGAAAAAATCTATCTCATCTATCTATCTATCTATCTATCTATCTATCTATCTATCTATCTCATCCTGCCTCCAGTCTTCAGCTTCTCCCTGTTGTGCTCCCAGTTCCCTACCCTCTGCATTCTCTCCCCAAATCATACAGTTCCTAGCAGTAATTTGGAGATGGTTTCTACGTAATCCTAGGGATCCTAAAATGGATTCATCTCCATGGAGATGGTTGTAAATTATGATTATGGAGAAAGTTTTCATTCTTGAAATGATTATCACATGTAATAAGCTCCAGAAATGGAAGAATTTGTAAAGAGATGTGGCTCATAGGAAGTGAATTTTGGGCTAAGGAAACACAAAGGATTGAGTATTAGGGGTACTGAGGATGTGTTCCAACAGGTGAAGGGCAGCTGAGAAAATCTGAATTGAGCCAGAGTAGTCTGAGCATTTAGAAGGAACATTCCATTTAAAATGTAGATCTTGAAGAAGGATAGGAAATTTCTAGGAAGGTACACAAAGTAAGGAAGGAAAAATAAGCAGAGAAGTGGAAGGATGGAGGGTATATTTTGTAAGTGCTGTGCAGTTTAGTTTATATCAGAGTTACAAAATGGGAGAGAACAAAGTTAAGGAAGAAAAGTAAATTTCAAGCTACTAGTGAAGACCCTCAAGTATCAAAGTGAACAGTTTGTAATTAGCTTGTCTGTGATTTGGGGTTAAGGTCTCTCACTCCTTTTCATTGGTTGACATTTTTCATTAACTATGCCATATATGTATTTATTTATTTCTCTCCTCCACAGGGAAAGATACTCGGTTATATTTATTTTGACTTATAGTCTTAATGCTGAAATGAGTCTATATTTGTTTAATATTAACCACTGGGACTATGTAACTCGATTTGTATTTTATACTTCTATCTATTTATGGCACTAATAAGTATGCTTCATCATATAGATACATGACAGTGTATGTGGTTTCTATATGCTGAGTTGGTTTAACTGAGTTTCTATATGCTGAGTTGCTTGGAAGCAGATATTTTCTTTTTTAAAAAGTCTTCTTTCTATGGGGCTGGGGGTTTAGCTCAGCGGCATAAGTGCCTATTTGGCAAACGCGAGGTCGTGAGTCTGATCCCTGGCACATACACAAAAAAGTCTTCTTTCTAGATATTTTAATTTAATAAGGAAATTAATATGAGGCCGAATCAGAACCCGTTCTTTCAAATACTGATTCAGCCATGGAAGTCTGGAATTGCTAACGCTCAGCAATCATCTCTACTTCTTCCTTCCCTTTGGTTTACAGTTGAGGAAACCCGGCTTATCTCAAAAGTCACACACCCAGTTACTGGCACTGCCAAGGCTACAACTCAGGTTTCTGTATTTTTCTAATAAAACCCTCAGTTATTTTTGTTACAAATGATACTTTCAAATTTCTCTTAGCAAAGGTTAACTGGTGGCAGCATTGAGAACAAATGGACATTCTTCATAATATTTCCGCTTCTCTCTGTGACTAACGTATCTCAGTCTATAATGGTACTTCTAACAATCTGGTCACTGCACCATCTGGGTGCCTTAGTACTTGGAGGTCCATAACAGTCCTTCGTGATGTTAAGAGCGTATGCTCCGTGGAGGTACTGTCCAAAGTAAAATATAATCAGCCTTATTAACAATGACAGCAAGCATTGTCTGTATTGTCAGGGTTCCACTATGATTACTTGTAATTGTGCCATCTTGTCTAGTGAAAGCTGATCTGATTTACCTCCATCAATCCATTGAAGGGAATGTTTGAACATTTCACATGTGTAAAGATTGAAAAGCAGCAAGCCTGAAAAATGTCTTTTTCTGGATTCTACAATGCACTTTGAAGGGAAGACAGTTTTCACCCCTCTTAGGAACTCTAGGTTTCTTTAGCACTCATGGCCACCACAAACAGAACAATAACGTCAGAGCATAAATCAGATCACCGAATGCCTGCACTTTACTTGGGCAGTCTTTTTGTTTTCCATCCTTTATCCCTTTACTGACCCCTGTCAATCCCCCCAGAGCTTGGGCCTCCCAGTTAAGTCCTGGGAGCTGGGGACTGAAAAGCCGCGGAACCAGATGTGCAAGGGGCAGCGGAGAAGGTGGGAAGAGAAGTGGTGGGACCGGCAGGCCTAGCTCCAAGGCTCCGGAGGCGGGGGCGAAGGCATGGAGCCTCTGCGGGTTCTCGAGCTGTACAGCGGCATTGGCGGCATGCACCACGCACTGAGAGGTGAGAGAGGCCCGAATCCCTCTCTCTGGACCTGCAGTCGGCGCGGGGCTGAACGTAGGCGCAGAGGAGAGGCGGAGCGGCGAAAGCGTAGGGGCGGGGCCGGGGCCGTGGTGGCGCTAGGTTGCCCTGGAAACGGCCTAGCGCGCGGCCTCCTGGGCTGGGATTGCTTGCGGCCCAGCTTTGTGATCTCCGCGGCCGGCCCTTCTGAGGGCTCCTTAAAGTCGAACTGAAAGGGTACCGACCCACTTAGGGGAGGGCGAGTCCGTTGCCTGGTGGCAAGGCCCAGTTCCCAGTGTGCTGTCACAGGGAAAGTAGGAGGCCCGGTCGTTAGCACTGTGGGTCGTGACCGCGCGTGGAAGGAGGGAGGAGGAGCAGAACAACAGCTGCAGTAGAAGTTAGCAGATGCTGAGTAGGACTGTGGGGGAAACCGGAAAGTCCGGGGAAATGAGAGGGAAGAAATTTAGCGTCTGCTGCAGTTCTGCGCTTAGATGCCAAGGAGCTGCGTGCAGTCTTGAGTTCAGGTTTTGTTGCATTGTGACCTTGGGCTCTTAACAGTTTTGAACCCGAGTCCTGGTTTTACAGTGTGAAGCGATAACTTTCAAAGACAGATTATTGTGAGGATGAATGATAAAGCATGTAGTTAGTTATGTGTACCCAGTATATTAGAGTCGTTCAAATTATTGTTACTATTATTACTGTATCTTGTGCATTCCGAGGCTTTCATTTCTTTGGGGCTGAGACGTACTATGCTAGGTACTTAGGATATGGGGTAACAAACTTTGTGTTTATTCTTAAATTACGAAGCCACAAAAGTGGAACTTCTCAGCTTCCTCTATTTAGTACTGAAGGTTACTAGAGACCAACACTGTAAAATATGGGCAATATCTAATGGGTTGAGTTGAGAATATAAGTTTCTAGCACATGTTGGGTTTTGATTGTGGTCTGTTAGTGAATATTAAATTTTTACTACTTATTTGCTAGCTTCCTACCTTCATTTAACTAAAAGTTAATCTACTGCCTTAATTTTGTGAAGTTTCATGTCAGCATTTTTCCGTATCTAGAAATCACTTAACGTGATTTTTAAAAAAATTATTTATTTGCTGACATGAGATCTCACTATGTTACCCAGGCCGACCTCTAATTTAGGATTCTCCTGCCTTAGCCTCCTGAACAGCTATGCTGACAGACATGGTTATGACCATGATCAAGTCTGCATTACAATATGTTATCATAAACTGTATTCAAACATCACTGTCTCGGCTTCTTCCCAGGCCTGTGAGACCTGGCTTCTGGTTCCCTCTTCTCTGTCACTTGTCACTGTGTCCCTGGCTCATTGTCCAGATTCACTAGCCTTTTTCTGCTCTGTTTCTCAAACCTCTGAGTACCTTTTGTGTCCTGGATTTTGCTTTTGGTGTCATCTCCACCCAGAGTGCTCTAACCCCAGACTTTTCCACTGCAGCTTCTTTTCACCTGTTGTATTTCAGTTAAGATGTGGCCTCATAATCTTCAGAGTCCTTTCGTGGAATTCAAGTAGACTTATGCGCTCCTTACCTCTCTGCTCTCTCGCCTTTTGATTTGACACCCATATATTATTGATATTCCCTCCTTATCATATTGATAAAACTATTTCTCCCACGCGTTTTTGCTTTTCAGTGTTCAGTTATTTGATGTACCAGAGTTTTAGCATTATCTGTATAAAATTTGTTGCTTCTTTCCATGTGGTTTTTATATAACAATAAAGACAAAAACAATGGCAACTAACTTCAACTTCTAAGGACCTTCTAAATGCCATGTCCTATTGTATTTGTGTAATAAGCTAGTTAATAGTAAAGCCAGTATTCTAGCCTAGGACTATCTACCATAACTTTTAACCATTGTCCTTGTTCTTATCATTATAAGAAGCACAGTGGGAATCATGTTGAACTTTATCGTTAAGTGATTTCTAAAGTTGAAAGTGGAATTTTTTATTGTGATAAAATATACCATTTTAGCCCTTTTAAGCATACAGTTCATTGGCATTAAGTGCATTCAAAATGTCCAACCATCAGCAGTGCTGATTTCCAAAACTTTTTCATCATCCCAAATTAATGTTCTGTACCCATTAAACAATAACTCTGTGTCTTCTTTCCCAACCAGTCCTGCATAGCTTCTATTCTACTTTGTTTCCTTGAATTTGTCTTGTCTAGTTACCTCATATCAGAATGTATATATGTATTTTTTTGGTCTAGATTTTTGTACTTGATATAATATTTTCAGAGTTCATGTGGTAACATGTATCAGTATTTCATTCTTTAAGACTGAATAATATTCTATAATATGTGTTGTTTATGTATTAATTTGTTAATGGACACAAGTTGTTAATAATGCTATTAATGTTGACATAAATATTTAAGTTCTTAGTTTCATTTATTTTGGATATATAGCTGGAAATGTAATTGCTAGGTCAGATGATAATTCTGTTTAAATTTCTGAGGAACCACTAAACATTTTTTTTCCATGAGAATTTCATTTTCTTCATTTCAACAACCTCCACTTGTTCCTTATTTTTTAAATGATATTCTAATGTGAATATAGTGATAACCCATTGTGATTTGGATTTGTATTCCCTTGATGTCTAGAGAGACTGACACCTTTTAATGTGCTTGCTACGCATAAGCACATTTCAAATTATCTTCTCTATGGGAAATGTCTACTAAAGGCCTTATCCCAGTTTGGAATTATGTTTTTATTGTTGAGTTGTAGGAATTCTTTATATATTCTGGGTATTAACCCTTTATCATACGTTGTGATTTATAAATTTCTTTCTCATATTACTGAATTTTATTATAAAATATATTTAATTACATTACCAATAGGGTAGATTTTCCTCAAACTCAATAATCATTCTAATAATGCAATAAAAATTGTTCAGCATTATCGGTATATGCAGTGTGCTATTTGCATTGTTACAATCACTACCTAGATGCTTCTGTATTTAATAAATGTCTTTAACTTATATATATGCTTTTCTCATTTAAATGACATTTAGTAAATACATATAAATATATTAAAAATATATATTTACCTATCTTTATGTATCTGCATCCTCCACATCCTGCACTATTCCTCTATGTTTCTGCCTCTGACACAATACTGTACTTGTGACAGGGTCTCCTTTGGTGACTGTTTAAGTTGATAATTACTTTATACTGTAATTTGGACAAAACTATAGAAGGCTTAGTTGAAACCAGGGTTAACATAGACACTCTTTAGTTAATATAAACAGAAAACAGGTGTTAAAGGACACTGGAAACTCATAGAATCCACATGACACCATACATCAGGATGGTAAACAGTATCGCTGCCCAAACTGTGCTCTGGAGATTGACCCAGTGAAGCCCTATTCTGATATCACAGCTTCTGACAATGTGGAGGATGACAGTATGCCTAAATGACACCAAAATTTTGCCCTAAAGGGTAGATGCCTCTGCTATCTTCCCTCCAAAAAAGATGTATTTTCTTATTTGTTTCTTCACTTTGCTACTTTTGAATTGAAGTCTTGTGTGGGTGCTAGTGGTTGGTGAATACTAAATCCCATTGCTAGACAAAGAAAGCTGGAAAAGTGCATTCTGACTTCTATCTCGGAAGGACATATAGTGTGGCAGAAGTTTCACAGACAGGAAACATGGGCAAGGAGTCTCGAAGGCCATAAGTGTGATAGTGTGTGCTACATTTCCAAATACATGTTTCCCTGTGTAGGAACTGCTTCTGCACACTTGGATACTATTTATTCTTGTATAATCTGTAAAGCTCTGGCTAATGGAAATCATTCTGATGAAAAACAGTGCTATAAAAGCAGAGGAAGAAGTTGTGTCGTAGTTTATACATCAGGGGAGCCTGCACGGAGACCTGTAAATATAAAAAAAACTCCACATTTTTCTCTTTTTAAAATGTAATAGCAGGAAAAGAGTATGATGTGGTTTAAAGTGGCAAATAAAGGTAAACTCTAACTGGGTGATTGGAGACAGCTGGTCTTACTTTTGTTGCTGAGACAAAATACTTGGTGCCTAAAGGTAAGGGATGAAAGCTTTACACACACAAAATTTGTAGCGATTTCAGCCATGATCAGTTAGCCTCAAGGCAGGGTGTCATCAAAGAGGAGAAACAGTTCATGGTGGGCAGAAGATCACAAAGCAACAAGGGACCTGAGCACTTTTTTGTTAGGCTAGGCTAGGCTACCAGGATTAGAGTGGTGCCCAACCAATCAGTGGACTGATTTAGTTGTCACATATGCTTAATTCCAGCCTCACACACTTTAGATCCAGCATGCTCTGAAAAAGCCCAACCTATGACTGCATCAGGTCTTGGGGGAACATCTAAAAACAAGCCATAATGCAGCCTTAAAAGCAAGATCAGCCTTACCATATAATTTCTAAAAATCTTCCATAGTTTTGATTTTGAGTTTTAGCTACCTACCTGATACTTAACCATATTTATTAAGAATTACTCAGCCTTAATATTTTCATTAAACTGTTAAACCTCTCACTTGTCATTCTTTAGTTGTTCATTTTCTGACCTTCTTTTGTCCTTATTCATCAATGACGTATATGCCAGTTTGAGTCTGTAAGCCACTTTGTGATGAGGAATGTTTTAAGTGATTTAGACAAGTACATTACCATGAAATGTTTTTCTATGCAGTTTGGAATTAATCTGCAGATATTTTTGGAATATCATTTGTAAGGGTCTGGATTTGAACTGCTTAAAGTTTTTTCTTTATATTTGTCTTTGTGTGATTTTAAACTTTTCCTTTTTATGCCAATTGTTCCATAGTTATTCTTATATAACTTGTCAAATTTAAAATGTAGCAAAATAAAAACTTGTTCCATTTTTAAATATTTATTGCTTATATTCATACATTACACAAGTACGTGAAAATAATATGAAGCCTTTTGATTGTCTTATCTATATCCTTAAAGTTTTGAATAATGAAAATAACCATACATCCAATTTTAGATAGTCTCATAGCAAAAATGGAAAATTGACTTTTTTCCTAGTTAAATTCATTAGGCACTTGTCTGTATGTAAGTGCATTTGTGCATGTATGTGTTTAATGCATACATAATTGGATATAAAAACAGGTTCAAGAAGGATACCCAGTGGATTATTATTCATACAAAAAATTACACCCTTTGCCCTACCTCCCTGTTTTATTTTTTTCTTTAACGCTTTACTGTCTATGTTATGCATTCGTTATCTTTTGAATTGACAGCTTCCTCTTATAAAATGTATATGTATGAGTGTGGAGTTTTGCTTGTTTTTTGTTTTGCTCTGTTTTGTTCACTGTTTACCTTTGGTGTCTAAAACAGTGTCTTATTACATACTGGATGTTCAGTATTTACTGAATTGAGTAAGTGGTAGTGCAGGAATATTGAAGTTTCTTGATATTGCTAAATGACTTTTAAAAATGGCATACTGCATTATTCAGTAGTTTTTGTGTAGAGCCAAAATTTGTCAATATAATCCTTTGAAGTATGTGATTTACTAGATGAAATTGTTACCCTGAATTTTTAATTAGTAGTGTTTTAGAGATTAGCAGTAACACTTAAAGTTCATAGTGCCAGTCATTGGAATATTGAGACTTAGTTGATACTTGTTGCCAGTGAGAGTTTGACTCGCATTTTTTATTTTTTTTTTTACTTTTGATGGTAATGATAGCAAACTTTTATCAGGTATCACTATTGTCAGATGCTAATTTAGGTTTTTTTTAGGTGTGACTCATTTAACTCTCAAAATAACCATGATGCGATACTTTATTATCTTTTTTACAATGAAAATACTGAGCCTTCTACAATCTAACAAACTTGTTAAGTCATACAAGTAAAAATGGTAGACCTAAAATTCAGATACAAAGAAAAACTGGTTTCCCCTTTGGAAGTGAGTATTGAATCTAGGGCCTTCACACCCACCCTTTCAATTAAAAAAAAAAATTGAGACAAGGTTTTGGTAAGGTGCTAAATTGAACTCTAGATTCTCCTGCCTCAGTCTCCCAGAGGATTACAGGCATGTGCCACCACTCAGGGGTCTAAATCGTTGTATGCACACACAAAATAAAATTCCCTAAGAAATCTTTCATAAAAAATAACACCTAAAATTAATACTATGTGGCTTAGTGGTAAAATATGTATAGAAAATTACACAGAGGGGCTGGGGATTTACCTCAGCGGCATAAGCGCCTGCCTTGCAAGCAGGCCATCATGAGTTCGATCCCTGGTACCGATAAAAATGAAAAAGACAAAAGAAAAAAAGAAAGAAAATTACACAGAGACTCAGGAAGAAAAAATGAGGGCACAAACCATTGAAATTCATGGGTCTTATGACTAACATTTTCTGGCCTGGTGTAAAAGTTAATTTTTCAGATTTTAGATCTGTTTGTAGGAGAAATTATATCTACAGCATAGAATTTGAAGCTTTAAGTTAATAATGATGAAAACTATAAGCTTTCAAGTAGGATTAAGTATAGAGTAGAGAGGTTCCAAATGGCAGGAGAAATTTAGAGAGTGTTTTCGTAGGTTAATCTGGGGAATCTTCATGAGTGATAATTATATTCTTTAAAACTTCATTTTATTTGCAGTTAATGAAATAGAGTATGAATGCATTTTTCATTTACTTTTTCCCGAATATGTTAGAAATTGTCAATTTATAAATTGTGAGATAACATCAGCAAAGACCATTGTAAACATTTTATGATGGTGTAACATTTATGAATGTTCATTTACCCAAAGCAAGTTTATGTAAAATACATTCAAAATCTTTATTCTTCAAGATGTTATTGCCTAGATTACATGTGTTTGTATTGTTTCTTAACTATTTGAACAGCTCCTATCCTCTTAAATTCTGTAAGTATTTAAAAATAGCTTTCAATATTATATTTAGGCCATATGCTAGTTACTTGCTGATTTTTAAAATATTACTGAAAAATGGTTTAATTCTTATGTTTTTCATTTTGATTGCTGTTGAATTGGTAGGATAAAATGATACAGCAAGTTATTATTGTTTAATGGTGTATGTATGTTCACAATTCTGTTGACAGGTTTTGAAAATATGTCCAAACCATTCTCTTTAAATTTGATATTTGTTTTCCTTTTGTTATTTTTCAGGGTTATAACCAAGAGAAATATTTAATTCTTTTTTTCCAAGATAAAAATTGTTTTGTTTGCTATGTACTGATTATAAAAGTAGTACATTATTATTGAGAAAATCAAATAATCCAAGAAACTTTAATAGAAGAAGTAACCCTTTCCCCAATTTTATCACCAAATGATAGTTTCTAGAAATTCTTTTAAAATTTTTTTTTATTGTACATATTTTACTAAACTTGGGCATTACTGTACTCAACAGAATATTCAGTAACTTGTTTTCTGTTAGTGTACCATGTGGGTTTCTTTGTGTCAGTATATGCGGGAGTCTTTTTTAACATGTCTATTCCCATTCATTTATGTCATCTTACCTCTTTACATACTTGTCTAAATCTTTTCATAGTGCCGATTTCCAGATGTGGAATGGCTATGTCTGCTGACTGTAAGATTTGCTAGGAGTGAACAACTGAAAGTATTATTGCTTCTTAAAAGACATTGGAGATTTAGTTTACAAGCAACTTTCTCCGTATTTGTTGTGTATGTCTATGTGTGTAGGTATTTGGGTAGCCCTGTTATGAAATTCTTCCTGCGGACACTGAAGACTCCTGGTTGTCTTTCCTTTATTTGTGATACTTGGAGAATGTTGACCAAATGAAGTGCTGCTATTTTGCAAATGTATAATTACTCATAAATATACATTTATTTTGCTTTGCTTGCCAAGTTTAAATTGAAATGCATTTCCTCATAGGAACAGATGACATAATAGTGTGTGTTCACTTGAATGCTTATTAGAACTTTTTTTTTTTTACAAAAGACAAAACCTAAATTGGTTTATGTAAAAGTATATATGAATTCATGTAGTGATGGAGTTCAAAGGCTTGACCTGGGGGAGAACTTGAAGGAGAAGCTCAAAGGCTGTAACTAAGAGTCAAGTTTTTTTTTTTTTTCTCTATTTCAGCTTTGTTCCTTCTGAATTGGGTGCATTTTTATATATGATCTTTGCTTATTACATCAAGACGAATGTAGGAGCTCTGAATTTGTATCCGTCCAGGAAGGAAGATCAAGTGACTTGCTGGTTACCTAAGAGGAAGCTAGGGGATTCCTCTTACTGTAGCTAATTGGTTTATTTTGTGTTGCGTGCCCATTCTGAGACCACTGTAGCTAGACTAATTGGCATAGGCATTTGACGTTTGTGTTCCCAGAAGCTACAACAGGAAGTTTGGGACCTTTTGAGCCATTTGACAGTGAATAAGATAAGATTCTCCAACACAATTTAAGTCTTTGCTAGGAAAAGGAGGCTGGATATTGGCACAATAGAAAACATGTCCACTTATCTTGTCTTCTCAGTAGATAAAGTGCCCAGTACATAATAGGTGCTCTAATAAATATTTGTTGATTACCTGACAGTAGCACTATTGATGCTATGTTTAAAATACTTCTAAGAGAACTTTAATTTTGTAGGACAGCCTGGAGGCTTCACTGTAGGTGTTTCCAAGGTAAAAATGTGACCTAAATGTTAAACAGTTGACTTAAACTGAAGTTGGAAATAAATAGTCACAAATACAGCTTTACAAAATACTTGTCAAGCTAGGAGTGCTCTCAGACACAGAACAGCAAAGACAGTAATCAACAACAATCAGGAGCTGAATTTAGAAATTATAATTCATTCATTCTCATGCATCTATTCAGCCAGGAAATATTTAATGAGGGCCCATCGTGTACCAGTTACAGCAGTATCTAGGTACTGACAGTGCTTGGATGCAGGAGACATGGCCTGGGATGTTAAATGTTGTAATCTAGTGGAAGAGGCAGCGAATCATAGAAAAATATGAATTATAGAATGTGACAAGAGCACTCAGGGCCAGACTGTTTCACAATTGTGACCACAGTGAAGACCCCTAGGAGAAGCTGTGCCTGAGTTGAGAGTGATCTGGAACAAGAAATTGAATCAGGAGTTGGGCAGTGTAGGCTAGGTCTTTAAACTGCAGAGTCATCAGGACTGAGAAATATAACCCAACGGGGCACTATATAAATAATCTGAGGGAAAAGTATGTATGTTTGTGTGTGGTATTCATGAGGAACATAGCATTGGTCAAGGCTAATGTTAAGAAAGGAGGCTGTGCACATACACAGATCATGCTAGCAAGTTTGGATTTCATCTGGAAGACTGTGATGCGTTCCCAAGGCTTTTAAAGCAGCAGGATGATTTAATTACAACGTTGAAAAACCCCAGAGATCCCATGAGCACACATTTACTGATGTGAGTTGAGAAAAAGAATTTGATGCTGTCATTATTACAGTTAATAATTTGATGTTATGCATATTCATATGTGTAGTTTATTCATAAACATAAATTTAAGTTCTTTAAACACTGACAGTCTCCATCTGGTTTCTAAAGTATGGACTTTCCAAAGAAACAAGACAAAACTTTATTTTTCTTTAAATAACATACACTTTTAAAATAAATAATGACATACAATTTAAAAATAAATAATATCATTACAAGAGATTTTTAAAATTTTTTTTATCTTTTTGGGCTGGGAATTGAACTCAGGAATTTGCACTTGCCACGCAGGTGCTGTGCCACTGAGCTGTATCTCTGACTCAAGGGATTGTCTTAATAGTTGTCAAAACTTGATGAAGGAAGGCATTTCTTAGCAACAGAACAATAAATTATTAAACACCAAACACCATTTTTAAGAAGGGCTTATATACTAATAATCATTCAAGGGAATAGTTGATTGAAAGTCTGAAAAAGTTTTATTTTCCTTCATTATCAATATTTACTGCTTGACCTTTGTTATTATTCCAAGGAACATAGACATTTCTACTTATTTTTGTCCTTTGATTGCTAGATGACAACCTAAGAACCCATCCTTCCAAAGGGCAAATTGTGTTGCCTTTACATAAGGAAGTCTTGCCATGCAAAAGAATTTAAGAAGCAATTACAGAATTAGAAAATAATGAAATTGATCATAATTGTGCCACAGTTTTGCTTTTAGGATTTTGAGAACAATGTAATATTTAGTATTGCTATTAATATTGTTCATATTAAATCTTTGAATTTTTAATGTGATATTTTGAAAGATTTTCTAAATTCTAAGTATATTTTCTTAAGTTAAGGCCCATTAGTTTTCTCTTTAGGAACACAGAGATATATGTGACTTTTAAAACAGTAATGCAAACAGTATTTTCTTGGTGGAAATTGACTTCATAAGGAAAATTTGAGGGAAAATCACTTTGTATATTTAAGGAGGATTCTTTTACTTTAGGGAAAAAACAGTGTTGTTTAATCTCAACACTTCCAGTCCTCCATCTATTAAAGCTTTGCATGCCAGTCTCTATAAGTTCCAGCAAAATACTTTGCACACAGTAGTCAGTAGTTTGCGAAATTAAATTGATGTGGTCTAAATAGGAAATGAACCTGAAACTCTCATTATACACACACACACACCATCTAAACAACTGATTTCCTATTAAAATTAGGCTCATCCGATCTGTTAGGATTAAGGCCAATTGTCCGTAATTAAAACTTACATACTTATAACCACATATGGAAGGTAAAGGTTTTTTCTTTCCTCATGTACAACTATGCCTAAGTGTGGTAATCCAGGCAGTTGCAGTGATTCCCATGGGGGTCATTTGGAACTTTAACGGTTGTTTTACCATCCTGCAGTGTTGTCCTTCTTTTCATGGTCCAGCTTAGTGACTAGTGTTTCAACCATTCTTACAGTTTTCTAAACCTGCTGTAGAAAGGCTAGAAAGCAATTATCACTTTTTTCTTTTTAAGAAGACCTCCCAAAAGTAGATAGAGATATCTATCTTATTACTCTGAACTAAGTCCCATGGCCACATCTGTCTGCAAAGGGAGTGACATGGCTTCTTTTATTTGTGGCAATGGCATTGTTGCAGTATATGAGTTTGATCTTTGGTTATTGAAGAGAAAAGGGAATTATTAGTTGCGCATGCCAATAACATTTTGCAGATACGATGTGACTAGAAGTCCTATTTTTGAGTCATGCAGACTTGAAGTAAAATTTAGTTCAGAGAGACTGAGTACTAAGAGCTCAAGTGTCTCCTATCTACATTCTGGCTGATGGTGTCTTGTATTTAGTCACATGATGGTAATAGTAATTTAAAATATGTCTTGACCCAAAGTAAATTTTCTAAGGAAACTGGATATTTGAAAAAAATGTTTAAATGTATTTTTATTTTATTCAACAAAATACTTTAATAGCAATTTTGAAATGAAGAAACGTTAAGAACAAAAAAATATACTTTGCTAAAAGTGATAAAAATATTTGACAATGATTTTAAATTCAGAATGCTTATGGTCTTTGCTTAGTACTTTTATTCTGAATTGGGCTATTGCTTAATGAGAGGAAATAGACATTAAATGTATGCAACTGATCTCCCATTTCACAACTAGATGTCAGTGTTAACATACCTGATTAAATGTCTTAGGTGTGATAACAATGAGGTGATTCAAGTACTTACTCAGCCTATACAAGGTATAGGTCAGAAAGTATGGAAACGAGAGAGAAGGAAAACAATTTTACAAAATTACTTTTTCTTATTTCAAAGTGAACTGATTAATTCTACATTTGTCGTTTTTGTTTTCTGAGCTGGGTATTGAACCCAGGCTTATCTGAGCTATATCCCCATTCCTTTTTATTTTTGAGACAGGGTTTAAGTTACTAAGTTGTCTGTGTTATATGTGAATTTTGGATCCTCCTCCTTAGTCCTCTAGAGTGCTGGGAGTACAGTAGATTTGTAAATATTGATTTTTCAGTCATTTTAATAACTATCATGGACATTTAAGCTTTATTTTTTGTTTATTTGGCTAAGAAAGTCAGGTAGAGTACGAACTTGTGCTCTATTGTCTGCTAACAAGAAGAAATTATTCCCTATAATTTTCTCAGAAAGAGTAATAAGAAAAAGAAGGAAAAATATTTTTATTTAAATGTAAATTTGCCTTTAACATTCATTCCTCATAAATGGAAGCATGATGTCCTCCTTTCCCTATAGATCCAATCTGACAACCTTTTAAAATAATTTTTGTTTTTCTATGATGTCATACATTTTTTTGAATCTATGCTTCCCACTGATACATATGAAATCCAGAATAATGACCAAAATATCATTAATGAAATCCAAGTGAAGTAATAGATTGAAGTACTGAAAGTACATCCTCTCCCCCACTACTACTCCAGGACCCTGGTGGGTCCCCTTTTCCAATTCTCTCTCTCCTTTGAGTGTTACTATTTTTAGATTACTTAAGTGAGAGAGCTCCCATAAGTAAAACTGTATAAGATTATGTTCACTTGGATGTGTTAAAATATATTTTCAGAATATGTACATGGCACTTAGAGGTTTTCAGAGACTATAGATTTGAACTGCATACCAGAAAATAGCAAGACAGCTTGTTTTGGGGGCTTGATGTAAATTTGACCAAATTGATAGTGTTACAGGCAGCTGAGTTAGTTAGAAATATTATAGGCAGCCAGACAGGGCTGGGCCCTCAAAGAGCCAGAGCAGAAATTCAGATACCTTGCAGCCTTGGAAAAGGCAATCACCTCCTGCTGTGGGCCATATCTCAAGACAAAAGGCAAAACAAATACATCCACATCCTAAGGATGGACAGTCCAAATAGTTCTCTCTCACCCTAAGAAAGTCACGAGTCAGCATCCTACAGCGCTACAGTTATTCCTGTAAAGCGTGTCTGCTTACTATGTGACTCACTTCCCCATTTGTCTCCAATTTAATCAATTTTACCTGAACTACTAATCTTACTGGATGACCATAGTTCTGTGCCACTTTATGCCCCTCTGCCTTGCGAGTTCCCAATTTCCTCACCCTGAACCCGTCTCACCCCATGATTTTACTCTATAAAAGTCCTTAGAAAAGACAAGAGTCCCTGGCAACCCTCTCAGAACCCCTTCTATCTATCTGTTAGACAGAAGCTTTCTTTCTCTCAATAAATACATTCTGTTCTTAACCTCCATTGTTCCTAAAATTCATTCTTTGATTTTAGAGAGCACAAACTTGTACAGGACATAGTAGATTGGGAGTTTCATTTCTCTGTATCATTAGGTTTTCTTTTTACCCTTATTATTTATAAATTTTTTCTAGAAGTATACTCTTAGTCCAAAATCATTGTTTTGAAGGGCAAGTTGAATGAGTGTCAGTAATTTCTTGGCATCTCTTGTCCAAAAATCCAAATTCAGAAATGTTTCCAAAGTTCAAAACTTTTTGATCACCAGTGTGATATCGAGTAGAAAATTCCACACCTAACCTCATGTGCTTGGTTGCAGTCCAAATGCAGATGCTTCAAAAATATGATTTAAATAACACTCAGGCTGTGTGTATAAGGTGTACATAAATCATAAGTATATTTTGTGTTTAGATTTGGGTCCTATTCCCAAGCTGTCTTAGTATGTATGTGCAAATTTTAGGAAATCTAAAACACGTAGTCCCAAACAGTTTTGATAAAGGATACTCAACTTGAATGTATACTCATAGAAAAACTTTTTAGGTCACACTTTCGGTCCTAATTTTAGAACAATCTATAATCCATGCAAACCATGCATTTGCTTATTGACGTTAAAAATCCATTCTTTTCTGAGGAAAAGAATGTTCAGTTCATCAGTTTTCAGATCTCCACATGAAACACTGATTTGGCAGTTGCTTTTTTTTTTTTTAAATCAGGTTTTATTCCCTCCAGGCACATAATACAAGAACATAAAATTAATTATTGATTATGGTATAGATTGAGCACATCACATTGGGTTTTCATCCAGCCTGAAAAAGAAGAAAGAGCCCTGTTAACCAGCTCCCAAGCAGTCCCTGTATGCTACATATTTAGTGGAAATGCAAGCAGGCTATTATCATCCTGATTATATCTTACTTGGTAAACAAGAAGTTTAATTCTGAGCTCTCTTGCAGTGATTAGATGTAGCTTAGTTTTTAATTATAATAATTGTATAATTTTGCAAATTAATTCTGCGATACTATTTTGTTGTTTGTTTAGAAACTTTCTTGATCTATGTTTCAAGAATTCTCGGATCCCTTTGGCAAAGATATAATTTATATCCTTAACTTTGTACTGAGGCAAGTAACTAGTTACTGAATTTAAATTTAATTGGAAGTATCTACCTCTCTTATTACCAGCTAGGCCTCAGAGTTTCCAGTGACTCATGTCTAAGACACAGGGACCTTACTTTTCAGCAGGACCCTTAGGATTTTCTCTCTAGCTTTGTCTCTTCCAGGCCTCTGTGTAAAGTTCTGATAGTTACTGTGCATGTATAAGTGAGCCTTTCCCCCCTTGCCCTGTCTCTTGTGATTTTGTTTTATTTCCAGGATTCTGCTGCTTAAGCCGTAGCTCCTTATACTATATCTCCCCATTTTAATGTTTGCATAAGCTAACTGTTATCCAGCAAATGGTTATTAAAGAGAAGGCTATATGGATCTACTATGTAATATTATATTTTCTCTGGTGACTTTGTTAAGTCTCAACTAATTTTATTTTAAAACTCTTTTTTCTGATTTGGGACAGTGTCTGTACATAGTTTTGTACATGTTTTGAGGAGGACAGTGGGAATTGCCAAACATAACAGCAGCTACAATTACAGAGTTCAAATTTTGACTGTCCTTAAAAATTAGGTTATCTGAACCGGAAACTATTTTGAAAATGCTTTATCAGCAAGACAGATGGGTAATAAAAGTATCCCTTTATAATTATTTCCCTTATTCTTATTTTTTTCCTGGTCTGTCAAAATTTAAAAATTTGCCCTGTGAATCTTTTACATTTAAAAACCAATTAATTGTTTACCTCATCTAAAAATTTATCTAAATTTTAAGCAAGTGAATTTTGTGGCATATGAATTGGATCTCCATAAAGTTGTCACTTAAAGCAGCATACCCTAAAAGCATTTTCAGTTGTGAAGCAGCTCTGCCTGAGCATGAGAAAAGTAACACATGATAACTCATCTATATAAAGTTCCAAATATTATGGTGATTAGGATATACTATACTTCCCATATTTTGTTTGTTTTTTAGCCTTGGAAAACTTTCCGTTAAACTCGTAAGTATGGCTCTCCACGTGAGAGGAAAGGAAATAGAAAAGATAACAATTAAAATTTAATCTCATTTCTAACATTGGAAGACAGATGAATCAAAAGTACTTATTCAAATATTCTATTTCATGCCTGATTCTTCTTTGGCTGGTCCTCCACTGACCATCTGAGATCTGGCTAGATAATGAGGACATCTGGAAATGTACTACCAAGCTCCATTATTTTCTTTTCTCTGTGGAGAACAAACTGATGTAAGGACTTTTCTTTTTAAGATGTTCTTTTTGTCATTACAGAAAGCCATATACCTGCACAAGTGGTGGCTGCCATTGATGTAAACACTGTGGCTAATGAGGTATACAAGTATAATTTTCCAGACACACAGTTACTGGCCAAGACAATTGAAGTGAGTATTTTTTTATATATGTAGCATATGATTGGTAAACTTTACCAAATACTGATTTACAGTTTCTTGACCCGAAGGTAAGTCATATAAATAAAAGTTTAGGGAAAGAGAATTAACATTTTATATTGTTGAGTGACAATATGCTGTTTTTTAAAAAATTCCAGTTGTAGAAAGAATCCAGTATTTTGACCTCTGAGAAAAAGACTGAAATGTAATAATGCGCTTACTTTTCAAATGCTTGGTTCTGTGGTTATATTAAACTTTAATTCTTTACTTTTAATGAATAGCTAGCTAGCTGGCATGTAATAAAACTAAAGTGGCAGTCATTGGCTATTTTTTAATGTTTCTTATTAGCAAGATTGTCCAGGTTAATCTAATTCAGATAAACTCAGCAATATCTAACACTGACACAGATTAAGTTATTTTAAAAACAACATGAAGTTGTGTTTTTCTCTTCTATTTCTTGTCATAAAGAACTTTATGCACAAATTTTGCATGAAGCCATACTTTCAATACAATAAATACACCTATTTTAAGTGAGCAGTTTGAGTGTTGGACAATAGAGAAACTGTATAACCAGTACTACAATCAAGAGAGTCAAGGAATTTCTAGCATGCTAAATCATTGACTTTATGTGTCATTTCAGTCACTACCCAATCCCAAAACTAGGCAATCACTAATCTGCTTTCTTTCATTATAACTTTCCCCCTTTCCTTCACTATAAAATTCTCCATTTTAGTGTATCATAAAAATAATCATGCCAATTTGACTCTTTTGAGTATAACTGCTTTTATTTAGTATTGATGTTTTTGGAATTCATCCATGTTGTGTATATCACTGATTTGCTGTATTTTGTTCTAGAGTAATATTCCTTAAAATGAAATACTGTACACTACCTTCTGTGTATCTATTCATGAGATGGCTTTGTGTGGAACTTTGTTTTTATTTTTTATGGATAAATACATAGAAGTGGAATTGTTGGATTATGGCAGTTTTCTTTAAATTTATTAGAAAATAACAAAAGTTATCAAAAGCATGTTTTACATTTTATATTCCAACTATGACTGTTAGAGTAGTTTCACTTTCGAGTCTTAACAACAGTAGTCATTCTAGTGAACATGTAAGGGTATTGATTTTAATTTGCATTTCCCTGATAACTAACAATGTTGAATATCTTTTTATATACTTATTGTCCAATCATATTCTATGTCAATAAATTTCTTGTCCAATTTTTATTATTTGGGCACTTCTATTATTTAGTTATAAGAGTTGTTTACTAGATTAAAATTTTTTGATCTTTTTCATTTTTATCAGTACCAGGGATCGAACTCACGACTGCCTGATTGCAAGGCAGGCACTTATGCCACTGAGCTAAATCCCCAGCCCTACTAGATTAAAATTATTTGGCAAAAGTATATATAACAAATATTTTCCCCAATTCTGTAGCTTGCCTCTGTGTCCATCAGAGTGGCTAAGTTACCTTTTTTATCCGTATAGCCAGTCCTCAGTTGCAGTCTAAGAAATCTCTGAATACCAAGGGAACAAAGTTGTCTCAGGACTATTTGTGGAAGAATATCCTTTCCCTGATCAACTTCCTTGAAACTCTTAAAAAATCAAATGTGTGACTAATTCCTAGGCTGTTTCCTCAGTAGTAAAGATAGGTCTATTCCTGTACCAATAATGCACTGTTTTGATTTTTGTAACTTTCTAGGATATGTTGAATTCAACCAGTGTAGCTCTCCATTGAATTACCCCTCCCTACTCAATTTGATTTCTTTTGGTGTTAAATCAATTAATTCTTAACCCTGTGTAGGATCTGGGAATTATTTCGCTTACAGCTTTCCAATACTTACTCCTTTCCCAACATTTATTCTTTGCCCTGCCTCATTGCATTTTAGCTGATACGTACACAGTCTGATACTCAGCCAGCCCTCAAAAGGAGTGCTCTAAGATTGCTGTTTGTAACTTCCTTCTGTCTGATACTCTGCTGTAGCTCTGATCACCTTGGCTTCCTGAAGAAACTCCAGTCTCTTTTCAGCTCACCTAGATTCCCAGGTTCTATTTGGAGTTCTCTTTACTGCTTTCTAGAAATTGTTGCTGGGTTAGAAAGCTATGGCAATCATGGTTCAACATTTTTTTTTTCCTAAGAGGATAATAGTCTGGATTGCTTTTGATCTAATGCTTGAAAATAAACATTTAATCTAATTTTTTTCATAAAAATGTAAGTTTTTAAAATTTTACTTTCCTATGGGTAGAAGCAAAGGTGCCATAATTTTTTAACATATAGTTACACTTTACATGCTGCCATTTTTGACTCTGGATTTGACTATCCTGGGCATATAATATAAACAGACTTGTACATAATGTATGGCACTTCCTGGATTTTTCACATAGTATAATGTTATCAAAGTTCATGTTGTAACATGCATCAATACTTAATTTCTTTTTATGAATGAATAGGATTTTTTGTATGGATATCTTTTAAAATATAAACTCATACAAGCAGAGAATAAAGTGGTAGTAGTAGAGACAGGCTAGTGGTGTAGGGATGGGAAATTGTTGGTCAACTGTTTAATTAGATGACAGGCATAAATATGGACAATCTATTACACACTGTGGTGACTGTAGTTAATAGTAATTATTATATGCTTGATATTGCTAAGAGTTCTTAAAAAGATAAGAATGTGAAGAATAGTGTGTTAATTTAACTATTATAAAATATATGCACTTAAAAGATCACATTGTATACCATAAATATATACAGTTCTTATTTGCTTACTATGTCTTGCAAAGTTAAATAAAAAGATGTAGGAAAGTCAACTTTTTTTCCCATACAGACATCCTTTTAATGAACTAATTTGCCTTTCAGATGAACTGGAGTTATCTCCTCCCTCCAGTGTTCTTAGCACTCTTATAAATAGATATTATGATTTATTATCATCCATTAAATTGGCACTGAAATGTCTCCACTACTACCACTCTATTCTCTGCTTGTATGAGTTTATCTTTTAAAGTTTTTACATATCAATGAGATCATGCGGTTTTTGTTTGTGTTTTATTTATCCACGTTGTCTCAAAAGGCAGGATTTTCTACATGTTTTAATCTCTCCCTTGATATTATCCATAGTTCTGTTTTTGTGATAAAAAAATTTGAAATAAAAAGAGTATATTATGTCTAGGGAAGACATAGGAACTGCACCGGGGGTCATGTTTAAAAATGGCATAGAAATTAATGGAGATTTTAGGAGTAATAAGAGGCAAATGGAAAATTAATAGTCATTCGTGTTTAAGCTTCATGTCAGCAGAAATCTCTGATTTGTTCATTTTTGTAATTCAAGACCTAGCACATGCTTGGCATAGAATATCTGAGTATTGGTGAGTTAGTTTATTAATATTGTTTAGTGAACAACATACCATGTCTAAAAAAGGAACAATGAAATACCAGATGAGAGCTAATAAAGAATAAAAGAGAATGCAAAATTGACACAAATAAGATGGGTTGCAAGTCAGAAAATATTGAAAAACTATAGAAAATTGCTTTATAATGATAATTGTTGCAATCCTCAAAGAAGATCTAATTGTTATGAGTATACATGCATAAGATAATGTCAGAGTCCATAGGGCAAGACATGATAAGAACTATCTCTCAGCAAGTTTTTATTAAATGCCTACTACCAAAAGGAAACTATCATCTTATGAATATAAATTCAGCAACTCTAAATAAAATATAAGCAGATAGATCAGAAGCATATTAAGAAGATAATATGATTAAAGTAAATTTTGATTTGAGAATGCAGTAGGTTAGAATTAGGAATTATATTAATATTGCTTAACACACTAATAGTTGGAAAGAGCAAAACTGTCAGAAGATATTTGACAAGATTCAGGATCATTTTTAATTTCTCTTAATAAAGTTAGAAAACATGAGTACTACTCACATTTAACTTACTGGCTTTGTATGTGTTACTGACTTTAATACAGTGCAGACAGCTGACATGTTCCCACATTAACTCACTTTTTACAGAAAGAGTAAAGATTTTCCTTTTTCTGTGATGTTAAGCTTTTAAAAAGCGTTATAATTAAAAATGTGGTGATTCTACGCCAGATCTTGGAAACAACCCAAGTGTCCATCAACTGAGGAATGGATTTAAAAAGTTGTGGTATTTCTATACAATGGAATATTATTCAGCTATAAAGAAGGATCACATTGAGATATTTATCAATAAATGGGCGCAGCTTGAGACCATACTCGTAAGTGAAATAAATCAATCTTGCATGTATGAATACCGAATAGTTTCCCTAATGTAAGTAATGATTCAAATATATGAAAATATGTGGCAATCATGATTCCCCATTATGTGGCCTTGAAGCCTTATAAAATTTTCACTTATTAATTAGAAAGGCTTTATTCCGGGCTTCTTGATATGGAAATATTTGAAGCTATAGTATATGAAGTTTTATCCAAATATCTCAAGGAAAAAGACAGACACTATGGTAACTATTATTCTTTAAAAAAATTATTTAGTTATTTCTTATGTTTATTTTAATTAAGGGAAAAATTTAAAAAATTAGGATATATAATAGTAACTCTTTTCGATTTCCTAGTAACTTGTTTTGAAGTCCTGTAATGCTCCCACGATCTTGTTTTGACTGATTAGACTCTGTTCCATTCTGTGGGATAGTATCAGGTCCGAGGGTATAGGCAACTACTTTGAAGGCAGTAAGATTCACTAAGATGCCCATTCTGGTTTGACTATTGTCTCCTTTGGAAGTCCTGTAATGTTTACAATGTCTAAGTTTTATTGGTCTTGTTCTCTACTGTTTTGTCCAACTTTATAATATCTAATGAGATAGACAAATCTTTTTAAGGAAACAAGAGACAACGTTGATAACTATTGTTAATAACCGTATACTCTGTTCTACATCATGTGCTAAGTCTATCCTTGGTTTTCACTGACAGCTTTGTTCTGCCATATTTGACTTTATTCTCCCCCCCCAAAAAAAGTAATAAGAACTAAGGAGTAATAAAATCTAAAATGTGTAAATTTTGTTGTAAAAAGAGAGGAAGGGGAAAAAAGAGCTCTAACGGATATAACAGCAAGTGTGTATAGGGATGTTGAATAGCTGACTATATTAATGTTTTTGGATCATTGAACACAGCTGTTTGTAGTCTCTCTGTTTGAATGTCTACTTTGTATTCTTTGATACTGTGATTTGAGCAACTATTTCCAAGATGATAATATGTAATCTATTAACAGGTGATTTCTTACTGTTATGCTTTTTTTTGTAGTTCTGTATTATATGTAACCTTACACTGCTTTGTTTTGTTTTGTGTTTTTCTCTTTTTCCTCTTAAATAAAAAAAAAAAAAGTGTGGTGATTCTGGGCTGATCTGTTTAAGCTTCTGACTAAGGGTGTATTCTAAGTGCCTAATGAGAGTGACAAGTAAATGCCTTATATTTCTTTGCTAGCATCTGATATATAAAAAGAAGCAAAATAAGAGTCAATTGAATTCATCATTTCTATAGTCTTTTGAAGTTCTTGGACTATAAGTAACTTCAAAAACAATGAACAATTATAGATATTTAAAAATGACTTATTTTTATATTTTTGATGTAGAGACAAACACAACAGGGGCATGGTGACTGATGAGTATATTACCTGTTGCAGAAACAAAAAGCATTATTGATTGATAGGTACTTACAGACCTCCTAGCACCTGGGCCAAAGATGGTTAATGATAAAGTCCTCCCTGTGTGACTGCCGAAAACAGCACTGTTACACTTAAACGTCATGGAGATAGCAGTGCTTAGGACAGGGAAACCCTATTCTGGCTTGGGAGAAAGTCATCTCTTTTCTAGCAACTTCGGTTTACTGCTTTTCTTTCTTGCAAGATTGCCTTTGGAAGTTAGTTTGACTGGAGTTGACTTGAAAAGTATTTTGTTATATAAACCGTTAAGATTTCTGATATATTTAGTTATAATTGGTTAGCATTTTCCCCTTTTTTATATTTTTTTCATATTCTTTTTCCATCAAATGTTCATTCCTCAGGGCATTACACTGGAAGAGTTTGACAAATTATCTTTCAATATGATTTTAATGAGCCCTCCATGTCAACCATTTACAAGGTATGTACTGTACATTTGTCTGAGAAAGTGCTTTTTGAAGACTACTAGCTAAATCTTCATACTTTTGAAATTTTTCATAATTGCTTCATAATAAACAATCCCTTTTATCTATTCATAGTTGTAATTCAGCATTAATCATAAAGGAAATGAAAGTTGTCTGAGCAAAATAGTTTAATCAACATTAATATGCAAGATGGTACTTTTTATATCACCTAAGATACAACATCAATTTCCAGCCCAAATCACTTTAGTTTGTTTCAACTATTGAGCATCTAAGAATAGCTTTCTAGGGGTGAGGGTTTAGCTTAGTAGTATAAGCGTCTGCCTGGCAAGTGCAAAGTTATGAGTTCGATCCCCAATACCAAAGGGGGGAAAAAACCTTTCTAATATGGATTAGCGAAAATGAATTTCCATAACAAATATTCAAGTTGTAAATTTAATACAAAATGCAAAAGTATTTATTCATTGGTGCATTTTCCATTTTTTCAATTTGATGTGTACATTTAATAATTCTAACTTCATAGTCAGAAATTATAATTCCTTTATTAAAAATCATCAAAATCAAAAATGAAAAATCATCAGAATCAAAATTACAAATCATCAAAATCAAAAATTAAAAATCATGTATTTATTTGACTATGCATTTTGAGGAATTGTGTCTTAAATAAAATCTTAACTAAACTATCTTCACTTAGATATTTTATTAATGACATTTTAAATTATTTTAAGTAGTAATAAAAGTAAGTGTCTTACATTCAGCAAATTTGTGAATAAATCATTGCTCTTATCTTGAGAAACTGGAGCATAGAGAGGTTAAATAACTTCCTTGAAACTCTGAGTCAGAATTTATCTATCAATCACTTTATATATTTCTAACATATATTGAAAGAATACTGAATATAAAAAGAGCATAGAAAAGAAAATGACGAAGTGCTTTCCAGGAGAGGGGAATTCTTTCAGACGTGATGTCTGAACTATGTCTGAAAGTAGGTAAGAGTGTATCAGAGAAGGCAGAAGGCATTCCATATAATGTAGCTCTCGCATAACCAAGAATATGGCCAGTTAGATACAATAATTAGGATATTAAGAATAAAACGTAGCCCCGCCATTGCAAAATATTATGCATTACCCTAGAATCTTTTCTACCACTGTCCTATTTTTTAGCCCAATTCCTGCAGCTAACGGCTATAGTAACTGTTCTGTAATTGTCAACATTTGGAACTTTGAGAAGAAAGGGATAGAATATGAAGAAAAATGTCTACAAGAATCTGTTCAAGTCCAGTCTAATCCCTTAGCTCAGCCTCAGATCCACTGGTAGTTCTAACCCTGCTAACTGATAAGTGATGTTAAGTAACTTATTTAAGATTATGAAGCTAATAAGTATCACTGTTTTGAACCCTGCTCCTCTGTTCCTACTATTCAGGTCTCATCCAGATCTTTTCTTCTGCTCCATCCTTGGTCATGTTGTGAATCTTACCTGTAAAATTTAATTGCTAACTCCAATACTGCCTGTTACATGACCTATGTGAACCTACTTAGCCTATTGAGTTACATCTCCTGTTTATAGAACTAAGCCTTCAGCTTAAAGCCTTTGTTAACTTTGGACGAGAGTGTTTTTATGCTAGTTAGTATTTTATCTGCTGAAATAATGATTATCACCAGTATCTTGATACTGCTACCCTCCCCAGGCGGCTCATTTATCTAAACTCATGTTGTCTCACATTGGACAGAGCAAAGAGTATCATCAGCAAATTGTGTATTGTAAGAGAGTATTGTTATATAACATAAAGAGTCCTTGTTCTTTGGTTCATATAAGTTTATTGCTTTATAAAACAAACTTTAAAAAACTTTTAAGTGTATTTGTTAGATATGCAAGGATCTTTTTCTTTTAATTGAATGAATAAATGCATTTTGTTCACTGTAGCCACAAAGATGACTATATTTCTTTTGCTGAGGATCAGCTATTTTTTAATAGACATGTAAGTTATATAGAATAGTAGTTTTCATTTTGTCATAATCATATATGCATATTATATACTTTGTTTTCTCCTATTACCCCCTTTTTTCTCTCCTGATACCATTTGTTTTTAAAATATTTCCTTCTAGACTCCTTATATGAAGGAAAACGTTATATTTGACATTTTGAGCCTGGCTTACGTCATTTAACATGATGATTCCTAGTTCTATCCATTTCTCTACAAAAAACATGATTTTTCATTCGTTTTGGCTAAAAGTATTTCATTGTGCATATATACATTTCCTTTAACCACTCATGTGTTGATGGGCAGCTGGGCTGTTTCCATAGCTTAGCTGTTGTGAATGGCGCCACCCTAACATGGGTAGGTAGATGTCTCTATGATATACTGACTTTAATTCTTTTGTGAATATACTGAAAGGAATTGTTCCAATGAATCAAATAATATCTCTATTTTTAGTTTTTTGAGGTAACTCCACCACCAGTAGTGTAAAAATGAAACCTTCCCCTTCTCATTTATTGCTCTCATTTATTGCTTTTTATGTTCTTAAGATAGTCATTCTGACAGGGGCAGATGGAATCTAAATGTACTTTTGATTTGCATTTCCCTGATGCCTAAGGATGGACCAACATATTTTAATGCTTTCAGTTTTAACTTTTTAAAAGCAGTTTTCTATATTTACATAAAATTCTTTATAACCTTTGGCATTGTTTCTTTATTCCTTTAGAATTGGTCTACAGGGTGATATGACAGATCGAAGAACAAATAGCTTCTTACATGTTTTAGATATTCTCCCAAGGTAAAGTCTTCTATTCTTGTACCTTAAATTTAAAACTAGAGGTATAGAGCAATGTGATGGTTGACATTCTAAAGAGAGTGCCAGTTTTTCCATGGTCCTTTAGACACGGTGCATATCATTTATCAATTAGTGCCATGACTAATAGAATAACTCCAAGTATTCTATGATTCCATGCTTGCCACTGCAGTGAGTGACAGGGAATTACAGCCCACAAGTTAAATTCTGGTGCCTTTTCTCATAGTAGTTAGTGACTACTATTATCCATGACCAGAGACTTGTACTAATGCCATGATTCTGTGTGAATGGCAGCCCTTTGAGTTGTGCAAGCCAGTGTTTTTAGGTGAGCCTTAATAGAAATTAGCATTTCAAGTGTGGGCTTTATCAAATGTGCCATATTTATGGGAAAAAAATGAATAAAGTATGAGTTGTTTCATTCTCTGAATCTCCTTTTAAAGAATTTAGAAAATTCCTTAACCTCATGTTTCCCACAGGTAGTGATTTTTAATTTTTACTTCTTATAATGAATTATTTGGAATTACATGTTTGATTTCTTTTTTTTAGATTACAAAAATTACCAAGATATATTCTTTTAGAAAATGTTAAAGGTTTTGAAGTATCTTCTACAAGGTAAGAAATGTATTTTTCTTGCCGGCACCTTCCAGTTGGTGTATTTTATAGTGGGAACAATTGTGAAATAAAAGTCACTAAATAAACATATATATCCTGACATTTTATGCATATATTATATACTTTACATACTAATGTTGATTTTGAGTAATCAGGTAAAGTATTATAAAGGTTTTGTTATATTGAGTCTGTCCCATTTGCTATGCTTTTAGTGGGAATTGTATTTCTCAATTTTAGTCACTTATATGGGTATCTATTTCTTTTGAAGTAGCAATGTGTTCAGTTAGAATTGGGTCTAGTTATATGTGGGCATTTATTTCCCTCCAGTTTCATGCATGAAATAGCTGTGCATTGCAATTCTGCCAGACAGCAGCCCTTGTGGGGAGAAGGCACCCAGCCAAGTTCCTGATTTACCTGCTGCTGCTGGTAGTAACAGTGTTTCCTTTGGATTTGTTGCCACGAAGATGCACCTTCAGTTTGTATAGCAAATTCATAAGTAGAATAATTTGAACTTTCATCAGTTTGAGTGTGTTAGATGACTGCTTTATTTACTTGTAAGAAAGAATTATCTGTATCTTTTTAATGAAAGGTGATTTCTCAAGTATTGAACTTAGCAAAGGCTTGTGATTGTCTTTCTAAAAAACTGAGTGCACTTACAGTTATCACTTACAGTGTACAGTTCTATGTACATTATTTTATGTGAATCCCACTTCTAAATAGAGTAAAGCTTTTCTTTTCTTTTTTTTTTTTTTTTCTTCTTAGAGACCTATTGATAGAAACAATAGAAAATTGTGGCTTTCGGTACCAAGAATTTCTATTATCTCCAACCTCTGTAAGTAATACACTTATAATTTAAAGAATTTTTTTTTCTTAGTGGGAATTTGATCAATAAACAAAATGGTTCTATATTCAATAATATTTTATGTAAATTCTGAAGTTAGTGCAGATTTGAGTCTTTCTAAAGAATGTAGTAAATGCATGTAGATTTATTTAAACTTATGTGATGAAAAAATGTATACTTTGAAGCTCATAAAAGATACATTTTCCTTTGGAAAATAAATGATAACATGTTGCATATTTTGAAAATACATGTAGTTTTGCATTTCCAAAGTATGTGTGCTGTGTTCAGTAGTGCTTTCAGAGAAAACCAAGATAAAAAATAATTTTCTAATTGCTCTTTGTGTGACATATCATGAAATTGCAAACATTCTGTTCATGTTAAGAAATCGAACTAATTGGTTATGTTATTTGACAGATTTTTATTTTGCAAGTGTCACTATTTTTTTGTCATTATTCTTTTTAGTTCTTGTCATTCTGAACCACATTATATATTTACTTTCCCAGAAATAAAAAGAAAACTCACTTTAAAAAATAGATATATAATATTGGGCATGGGTGGTCATGTCTGTAATCCCAGCACTTGGGAGGCTGAGGCAGGAGGACTGCTGAGAGTTTGAAGCCAGTATGGGTTGCGTAGTGACTTCAATACCAGCCTGAAATACATAGTGAGACCCTGTCTGATAGGGAAAAAAAAAAGATATTTGGTAAAATGCCTCTATGTGATCATTGTTTTACCAATGAAAAATAAAATGACAGTTACTCAGAAACATAATTCATCAGATTTGATCTTCATACAGCAGGTTAACAGGGGCAGAATTTACTCTGGCAGAAGCTAGATGTGCACTGTACAGGTTTTGTTTCCACTGTGAGTACAAGCTCGTTCAGTGCTGGATAATGCTGAATCTCTCTGCTTTTCCGGCAGCTGGGCATTCCCAATTCAAGGCTCCGGTATTTCCTTATTGCAAAACTTCAGTCAGAGCCATTACCTTTCCAAGCCCCAGGCCAGGTATTACTCTTATTGTTATTATTGTGATTTATTTGTTGTAAATGTGTCTCAGCCTGCTAATACATTTTCAAGAACTGCTTTCTGTAGGGCTCTTAAGTGTTGTGTAGACTCTATAGTCTTGGACCATGCCTATGTCCATCTCCAGGGCCCCCTCCCTTGCCATATGCCACTTTCACTGTCTGAAACTAACCAAAACCAAAGCAAAATACACAAAAGTGTCTTTATCAGAGAAAAATAAATTAAAAGTAAGAAAAAAAAGAAAAACCTTACCATCAATGTTGGTGATTTATCTTTTGACCATTGATTATTTTGCATTTATCATTTTTGTTCCTCAGTTGAAGCAGTTGGGTTTTGTTTTCTTTTCTTTTTCTTCCTTTTTTTTTTATTTCTTTTTGTTGTTTGGTATCAGAATCAAACTTACAACCTCACTGCTGACAGGCAGGTGCTGTGCCACTGAGCTATATCCCTGCCCCTGTTGGTTATTTTTGAGAAAATATATTAACTTGGGGGCTGGGAATTTAACTCAGCGGCATAAGCACCTGCCTTGCAAGCAGGCGGTTGTGAGTTTGATCCCCAGTACCGGTAAAAAAAAGAAAAAAGAAAATATATTAACTTAAAAATGGTTTAAAAGTACTTTAACACATTGGTCACATTTTCTTTAAAGCCAGTACTATTTAGCTTAATGGATTAGAATGTAGAAATAATTTGTAAAAGAATACAGTGTTCAATTAGAACAGGTAAAATTCTATATGAGCACTTTTTTATGCTTCTGTCAAAAATGGAAATGGTTTAACAGTTTCTTTGATTCTGTGAAGCTCTCCATAGTCATCACCAGTATGCCTTGAATGCTCAAAAAACAAGTCCTGCAGAGCATGGTAGTGCACGCCTGCAAGCCCAGCACTTAGGAAGGCTGATGCAGGAGGATCGCAAGTTCTGTGAGTCCTGTCTTGATGCTTAGCAAAACACCATCTCAAATAAGAAATGGAAAAGGATCAAAGATGTAGCTTAGTGATAGAGCACCCTTGGGTTCAATCCCCCAGAAACAACAACAACAAAAAAACCCAAAGTGTAACAAAACAAAACAAAAAACCCAAGTCTTTCTAATAGGAAAGCAGTTGTCATTTGAATCTTCTGTAATTACTATACTAGTGTGTCTACCTTGTCCCAATCATTTCAAAAATAATATGTAACATATGTATATTGACAAAGACTTAAATCATTAAAAATTCCCAAGATAGGTTTTGTTTTTATAAAATGGAACTTCACACGTGGTTATGAGTTTTCCAGAGAAAAGTTTTGCTTATGGGATTCATGAGCAGAAATAACCATTCACAGTGAAAAGTACTACTATTTTTAGTTACTAGTTTTCTTTTAGATCATGAATGTTTGTTTTTCTTTTTTAATAAAGGAGTATGACAAACTTTGATCCAAGACATTTTTTAGAAACGTTAATGTGGTTTTTAAACTTCTTTTCCAAATATTGTACTATATCTATATTTAATATGCTTTCTGTTGCTTTGTTGTTTTTATTAATTAATAGAAAAAATAGTAATTCTATATTATCTCTTGCTTAATGACTCTATTAAACTGTGTGATTAATAACTTGTCAAACACAAGAAAACCATAATTTCTATCTTTTTAATTGTAACCCTATGAAAGCAAATTGATTCTTTTTTTCATAATGTTTCCTAGATGTTATTATTGTCTTTGGTGCTAAGTAAAACTTTTGACATTTTGTGTACTTTTTACTTAATGCCAGGTACTGATGGATTTTCCCAAAATTGAATCTGAACATCCACAAAAATATGCAATAGATGCAGAAAATAGAAATAATGTAAAGAAAATTGAACCTAATACTTGCTTTGATAGAAACCCACAGTGTTCTGGCAAAGATACCATTCTTTTTAAGCTTGAAACTGCGGAAGAAATTGACAGGAAACATCAACAGAACAATGATCTCACTGTGCAAATGCTGAAAGATTTTCTTGAAGATGAAGTTGACATGAATCTGTACATTTTACCACCAAAGTCATTGCTGCGATATGCTCTTTTATTAGACATTGTTAAACCCACCTGCAGAAGGTCCACATGCTTTACCAAAGGGTAGGTTTTCAAGAGACTCCATTTGTGTTGCATCCATAACAAGCAGGGTTTTTTGTAGCTATTGGCTCTTATAGTTTTTAAAATAATGAACTTTGTATAAAATGTTTCTGCTGGGGTGATTTTTTTTGCTCATCATTTCTTACTTCATGTTCCATTAAAACACAAGTTTCCTTCTGGCAGGACATTATGTGCATCTCCACAAAAATGTTCATACAGGTCCACTTTTTTGGTGACCTTCATAAATATGCAGTTTACAAATTTCTATAGCTCCTGAACAACTTCCAGGTTTTTATTACCTCTTTTCTATGATGCATCAAGCCTCAAAGAGTTTATGTCCATTTTCATGAGAAGTTTGTAAGAAGAAATTAAATTTTAATCTAAAAATTGAACCATCTGGGGGTACTTTAGGATAAATTTTATTTAACTTTTTTCATTTTGAGTAAGTACAGTAATACCATGGTTCAAAATTCAAAAGATACCAAGATTATAAGACTCCTTTCTACTTTTGTCTCTTGGCCATCTACTATATCTCCACACCTGCAGTGCATGATATCAGTTTGCTTTATCACCTTCCAGAAGTGTTATTTGTGAGAATTTAAGCATGCATGTATTTTCCCCTACTTTAAGTTAATGGTGGCTTACTGTATATTGTATTATGTGCCCTTTCTTTCACTGTAAATTGAATATTTCACTGTAAATTGGATATTGGATCATACATGCAGGTTTTTTTTGAATGGTATAAGTATGTAATCCTTTTTTTTACTGATTACCAATTGATAAACATTTAGAGTGCTCCATTTGGGGTCATTCTGTGAATGTTTAATAAGTTTTTTCCTCAATTTTTAAAACCTAAAATAAAGGGAAAAATTAGGCTTTTTCAGAAAAATCCTGCCAAAGATCCCATTTTGTGAATGCCACTGACTGTGTTTAGTAGGTATTGGTATGATGTGACAGTTGCAGCCTTCTCCTCTTACCTACCTTTCTTACCTACTAGCTCGCTTTCTAGACACTGTGCCCTGATACAACAGTACAGACTCTTTGTTGTACTCTGCCCTGTACTTCATTCAAGTTACCGTAAGACTTCACTCAGCTGTTGCCTATTACCAAGTCCAAAGAGGTTCTGTTTAGGACTCTCATAAAATCAGACTTATCAATTTTGTAATAAAAAGCAACCTTTAGATTCTTTCATAATTATAAAGATGGTAAAAAAATAAACCTTACTGTATAAGTCTGTTTTGCTATAGAAATGTGTGTATCTATTCACACATATTCATACTTGTGATATATTTGAAAAGTTATTTTCCCAGTTATGACTTTTTTCTAAAATATACCTTTGTTCACTTTGCAAAATAATAACAATGGTAATATGTTGAAAGTCAGTTTAACAAATAATATTTGAGAAAGAAAATGATATTAGAAAAAAAATACTAATTCATTTTATCTCTGAAGTGTTTTATACTTTTTATAGTTTTTATAAGGTGGCTTAGTTCTTGTTGAAAATGACAGAAAGTACATACTGAATTAAATGAGAGGCGGACCCCAGCTCAGTAGGACCATGTTTGAGTAGCATTACCGAGTAGGGCTTTGGGATCCTGAAAAGACGTGATAGGTCAGGCATTATTAAAAACAGCCACAGTATGTTTTCAACTATACAGCGATTGTTTTAATGTGGCAGGGATGCCAGTATTGAATAACCTTTGGGTAGAAGGTGTAGTCTGTTCTGATGAGCATGATAGAAATAACGTTGCAAAAATGGTAATAGTAATTCAGTAGTGTTTATACAACCCCAAAAAACTATGCCGTGTTAACTCCGAGTTTAAATAGAATTATCTTATGTCTTTTTGTTAGTAATTTTTCAACTGCAAGTATATTTTTGTGGGATTTCAGTCTGTATATTTCAGAAGGAAACAGCTGTCAAGGTTAAGTCACTACAGAAATATATATGATATGAAGTTTAGCATTAACAATTCCTTACATACTGCCTAATACTCACGTTAATTTTCTAGTTATGGAAGTTACGTGGAAGGGACAGGATCTGTATTACAGACTGCAGAGGATGTGCAGGTACCATGTATGTTTTAAAACTGAAAGTTTTAGAAAACATGAACAACAGTTCATTTGAAAATGTGACTTTTACATATTCAACTGAGAGTGAATATGTTATTCATTTTTGTATATATTCATACATAGTTTCTTTACTGCAGAACTATTCTTTTTCTTGTCATGTATGCCCTTATACCTAGGGAATATTTTATTTTTGCTTTCCTTTCTTATTCTTATATGTTACATTTCCTTTTATTTGATAAATAGTAAATTGAAATTTAGCTTACAGTAGCTAATATTCTAAAATTTTGCATAAACATCTGAGTATTGGTGTTTTCCTTTGTAACATCTACCATAAAACTCTTTTACAGAAAAAAATTTATAATAGCAATGCATTTTATTCTTTAGTTGTAAACTCTGCGTGGTATCATCATTGAAATCAAGCCTGAAATATAGCAAATTTATATATTGTTGAATAATTATAAAAGCACATTGTTTTTTATATTGATTCAAACTGTTACCTATTAATAAGATTTACTCATGGTAAAAATTTTGTCATAGATCAGTGAAGATCTGGGCTTGAGAAATTGTATTTAATAGTATTTAGCAGTATTTTATTAAAGTATCTTAATTGGGTGAAATTGTATAAATGACATGTCTTAATGATCTTGTTAGAATTGTAAAATTGTTACTTTGTCAGTTGACATAATTTCCTTTGCCTCCCTCACTGCATTTATGTTATATTGTTATTTATTGGTTATAGTCTCATGACTTCATTTTAAGGAATTCAAAATGATGGATGCACTAAAAAGTGTCTTAATCTGTTTACTGTTAGCCTTTTTTTCTTTTTCAAAGCTTATAATGTGATTTTTAAGCCACTTACATAGTTTTTTGCACAAAAACATTTTCCCTGTGTGTTTTGCTTCTATGTGTCACAGCAGACTTTATGTCCGTTACTTTTTAAGTGTTCTCACTGTTGGAAAACTTAGCAAATCTAGTTGCACAGTGCTTTCTCATGCTCTTGTGTTTTCTTATAGATTGAGGCTATCTACAAATCCCTTACCAATTTGCCACAAGAAGAACAGATAGCAAAGTTGTCGATGCTTAAACTTCGCTATTTCACTCCTAAAGAAATAGCAAATCTCCTTGGATTTCCTCCAGAGTTCGGTATGTGGGATCCATATAGACCTCATTTTTTACCTATTAAGGCTCTGAAAATTCCCTTAGAGACGCTTATGTGTATTTAGCCTGCCTAGACAGATGGGTTCCGGAAACCTTTGCTGTCCCTGGTGCCACTCTGGGCATTTTCCCTCCCTCTTTGCTTGTTTCCTAAAAATGAGCTTCAGTCTGTTCCTTTCTGACTCTGACCCTAACTCTAGCGGCGGTCAGTGGTTTGCCTCGGTAATAGTGGCAAACAGGCAGTTCCTTACCTGAACATGTTTGCTGTTAAGGTCCCCTTTCAACTTATCTTCTTACTTCTGGAGGCCTGGTCTTAGTAACCAACACTAGATCTTATGAAAGAACGCCTTTTATTGACTTTTTCAATGAAGAAATATAAAAAGCAGTTTAGTTGAGGCATTGGGATGGGAGATGTTTGTATTTATTTTCCTCTGCAAAAATACATTGTTATTAGTTATGTGCCTTTATCTTTCCCTGTAAGAGTTGACTGAGATAGAGAAGGTAGAGAAGTCTAGGCAAGGAGGGAGACTCTGGAGTACAGATTAGAGGGTCTTTGCAGAGTGTTTAAGAACAGTGCTGTGAGTAAGCACCTGCCTGGCAAGCACAAGGTCCTGAGTGAGTTTGATCTCCTGTACAAAAAAAAAAAAATGCTGTGTGCTGTAAGGACACCCTTGCTCTGAAAAAATGACCTTACCAACCTGCTTCCAGCACTAAAGAATGGGAAATATGCTTTTGAGAATTCTGACTGGAAATTTGAATGTAGAAAAGCAAAACTTCATTAAGGCCATGCTGTTGTAATATTAATATAGCATTATTTTTGAAGTAAAAATGGATGAAACAGATCCTATTTCAGTTCTAAATAATGGATTTACAGGTGAGACCTTGGGACATAACCTTTTGGGGCAAAACTGCCCATACAATTTAACTATTCTCTTAGTAATGATTCTCTAAACACAGTGATAGCAACCAATTTATTTTCCACTTCTTCACACACGCCCCTCTTGGGTGATCTCATTCACTGTGAAATACAGAGAATGTCACTATATTTAAGAAAATATATTTTGTTGCCTTAGTTTATGTCACAAAGCAAGTGAGAACATCACAAAAGAAAGAAAGAGCTGAGACTTGGACTCAAGAATTCTAATTTGCAGTTTGTTTTCCTTGTCACTATTTTTCTTTTGTGAACAATCAATCTCACTTAAATGCAGATGAAGGAGAGATTAGCTAATAAAAATGAATTCCTAAGTTTTATCACTGTGCTTGTTTTATTCCAGAAATGGTAGTCACTTTGGCAATACTTAAACTTGGTAAGGGGCACAGGCAGCACCTAGGGTTAGATCGAGTTTGAACCCTGGCAGCACCTTAATCTCTGCTTGCCGTAGTTTACTTGCTACCTATAGCATTTACTTCACGGGGTTGTTCTGATAAATAAGTTGGTACATTTTAAAAGCTTGCACAATAATGAGGTGATAAAAATTTATGTTGGCTTTTATTTTTAAATGACACTTTATAATCTTTACTTTATTAATTTTTTTCACTATTTTTAAGTGTTAGGATGGTAAAATGGAACTTTTGAAACTTCTCTGACTATAAAATATTTTTAAAGACCCTTTTAAACTACCTCATCTTTTAAATGTGTGATATATTTTTGTAGACAGCGTAGCACTGAGCAGCACCGTGGCACAGCTGTCCTTCACATGTGTCCCCAAAACAATTGATTTGGGCTCTGAAACAGGCATTGTTTGAGTTGTTTGTCCACTGGCAAGGATGAATTTGCATTGATATTCTGTATATTTTGTCCTGATTTTTTGTGACTGATAGCAAAGAGTTCATGAAGAGGCTGATTTTGCAAGACAGGAACACTAACCTGTACTTACTGTTTGAAAGCTGTTATCCTGAACATGTTAATTCCTATTTCTTTGCTTTTTAGCAAATTCCTATTTCTTTATTGTTTTTCAAAGTCACCCTTGAAAAGCTGGGCATAGTGGCACACTCCTATAATCCCAGCACTTGGGAGGCTGAGGCAGGAGAATTATTTGCAAGTTCAAGACCAGCCTGGGCTACAAAGTGAGCCCAAGGCCAGCCTGAACTGCATAGCAAGAACCTGTCTCAAAAAGACAAAAACAAAAACAGAAAAACAAAATCACCCTTGAACTTAAGCAATTATGTGTTTAGACTTTATTACCTACATATAAGAACATACAGATACACATGCATAATTTTTACAGATTTGGTTTGTTCACAAAGCTTTTGTCTCTTTAAATGTAGTATTATTATGAAAGGTTGCCTCTGAAATATTATTTTATTTTATTAGTACTTGTTCGTAGTATCTGGAGTTTATTTCATCTTAGGGACTAGGTGCATGTGCTTAACATATCCTGATTATTTTTATTGCCCTGCGCGTCTCTACCTACCTCCTTCTCTGTGTCTAGATTACTTTTCCCCATTTGCATTACTATTGTTATACTTCTTAAATTCATGTTTACAACATATTATGATTATATTCATTGTGGATATTTGGAACATATGTGTGACAGATCCTTAATCTTTTTATGTCCCTTTCTTTCTCTCTCCCCTTACCCCTTGGTCTCTTATAAAAGATCTATCTTCTTACTCCTTTATCAGTACTTTTGTTTTAATACCAAGAACCCACTGGCCACCATCAGGGCCATTAGCTAGCATGGTCTGGGAAAACTATCAGGCCGTGCCCCTGTGAACCTGCCAGCCATCACTGGGACTGGTAGCCAGCACAGGCCAGGAGAAGCAAATAGCCAATCACCTGCAAAGTGGCCGCCATCAGAGGAGTCTCGACGTAGCCACACGTGTCTCGAGAAGCTTGCCTTGCACCCCACAGCCTCTCTGGGAAGCTAGGTTAGGAGAAACCCAGGAGCCTGGCCCATTCCCCTACACTGCAGATGGGCAGCCAATGTGGAAATGCCTGGGATCCCACAACCAGGTTGTCTGGAGGAACCTAGGAAAATGTCAACATAAAGAAGCAAAGGCAATCTCAGACCTTCAGTCCACATAGAAGAAGTCTAGGAGACAGACATGGAATAAATTGGAAGTCATGCACCTGAAATTTCTGAAAGGATACTAACTGAAATAAAAAAAAAAAAAACAATTCCATGAGGTTGTAAAAGTAATCATACCAGAAATAATATCTCAGATAAAAGAAGAAATGACAAACATAATGAAAGAATTGCTGAGCATATCTAGACATAGATTTTTTTAAAAAAAGAGGAGCAAGGAAAATGATAGAAACCTTAAATGAACAATATAGGAAAAAATTGCAATGCATGAAACAGATTCAAAGAAGTTCCAGGAAATTAAAAACTCCATTGGAAGCTGAAAAAAAAACACTTTTTCTGTAAAGAAACTGAAGAGAGACTTTCAGTCCTTGAAGAGAAGATTGCAGCTAGCAATTGTGATAGGAAAGATCTCCTAAAAATACAAGGCAGGCTCACATGAGTTTGATCTCCAGTACAAACAAAACAATACAAAACAAAAATATTTTAAAAACCCCACAAAGCACCAGGAAATAATTCAGCAGCTACAAGATGATGCAAAGAAAAATAATTTAAGATTTATAGGTGTCATCAAAAAAGCAGGTATCAACACAAATGATATAAAAAGATCATATACAGAAGCAGTAGCAGAAAACTTCCCAAGCATGGGAAAGGACCAGACATACAGATGAATGAGGCGTATAGTCCTCCAACTAGCCATATCCAAAATAAATCTATACCCAGACATATAATCAAGCTCCCAGAAGTTCAGCACAAGAACAGAATATTAAAGGCTGTTAGAGAAAAGAAACAGATCACCTATAAAAGGAAAACCCACCAGAATCATGGCAGATTTCTCAGCACAACTCATCAAGTCAAGAAGACTTTGGAGTGAAATGTGTCAAGTTTTGAAAGGAAACAACTTCCACCCCAGATTGATATACCCTGTAAAACAATCTTTTAAAAATAATAGAGAAATAAGATACTTCCATGAAAAAGAACAACTAAAGGAATTCATGACCACCAAACCAATCCTTCAAAGAGTGCAGAAGGATATTCTAGGGATGGATAAAGATGACCACAGCTCCAGGAACAGCAGCAGAGGGAGATCACTGAGCAGGACAGGCAACAGAATGAAGGAGGAAATTAGGGAGGCCAATAGCAGGAGGATAGCATGGCAGAGATGAGCTAGTGCATGTTGGTTGCAACCATATATATAAATGCACTCAATTCACAGAGAAAAAGAAACACACGCAGAGTGAATCAGAAGATCAGATCCATCAATACTCTGTATACAAGAAACACATCTGGCTCAAAAGGAAGTTCATGCACTAAAGGTCAGAGAGAAGACAATGCTCCATGGGACTGGGACCAAAAATAAAGAAACAGGGGCAACTTGCCCATCAATCACAGAATGGATAATAAAAGATATGATATTTGTATACAATGTAAAGCTACTCAGGTATAAAGGGTAATCTTGAGGTTCTTGTAGGTAAATGGGTGCAGCTTGTGATCATGCTCTTGGGTGAAGTGGTTCAGACTTACATGGCTGAACATCGTGTTGGTTCCCTAGTATAAAAACCTGGAGTTACAATTTGAAAATAGCAAGAAGCACAATGGTAACCACTTTTGATCACCTGGTATTCTATTTTTACATCATGTGCTATGCCCAACCTTCTGTTCTGACTCTGTTTTGCTTAGTCACATTTGGCTTTATTCTCTTAGAAAAAAGTAATAAGAATCGTGAGAGTAGTAAAACCCTAAAAGTCTAATTGTTACTGTAAAAAAGAAAGGAAAGTAAGGTGGACTAAGGGATATAACCGCAGGTATGTTCGAGTGTGTAGGGTGGAAAACCATATAACTGAGCTTTTGTTGGATCATTGAATGGAACTGTCTCCAATTTCACTGTATGAATGTACACTTTATATGCTTTAATTTAGTAATATGGACAACTGTTTCTGGGAAGATAATATATAACCTATTAACTGGTGATTTCGTACTGTATATTTTTTTTTCTTGAAATACTGTATTATTTGTACCTTTTTACTGCATTGTTTTTTTATGTCCTTTCTTTTTTTCTCTCTCTCTTTAAATAAAAAAAAAATGTGCCAAACAAAAGAAGCGAGACATAAAGTGCAGTAATATATTACATGGTTCCATTTGTATGAAATGTTCGGAATAGACAAATTCATGAATTAATGGTTAGGAGCCAAAAGGGAAAATTAAGCCATCTATTAATGGGTACTGGGCTTCTTTTTTGAAGTAACACAAGTGTTCTAGAAGTTATGGAGATGCCAAAAACATTTCATCTAGTCTAAAAATCACTGAATTCTATACTTTAAAGGATGAATTTTATGGGATGTCAATTGTATTTCAATAAATGACTTAAAAAATGGGAGCTATCGCTTTTTCTGTAGTGCACTCATATATAGATTTCCAGGATTTCTGTGGGTGTATGTGTATACATGTGTGTACATGTGTGTGCATTGGCCATAATTTGATGATATATGATATGATATGATATGATAATGTTTCATTGTGTGGGCAATATAATATAGTGGTATATTTTGGCTCCAAATTTTCATTTATTAATAAAACTTAATGGAAACCTTAGTAATTTAAAGTTACATGTTACTTAACAATACATTCTGAGTAATATGTCCTCAGGTCATCCCATTATTGTGTGAACATCACAGAATGTATTTACACAAACTCAAGACCACTACAACATTATTAGATGATACAATCTTGGGTAACCTCTTTCATACATGTGGTCTGTTGTTGACTTAAGTGTCATTGGACAGTGCATGACTACTTCTGAAATGACCTTATGATTTTACTAAAGGATACATCCTTTTGTTTGTGGAAGTTACTATTATAAATGATTATATTATACATTGTTACCTTCCTTTTCTAGGATTTCCTAAGAAGATAACCATGAAGCAGTGTTACCGTCTACTGGGAAATAGTCTCAACGTTCATGTAGTAGCTAAACTAATCAAAATCCTGTGTGAATAATTCTGAAATATTTCTGAAACATGGCTGTGGTATTTCTTCATCTCCAGATAATAATTGTGAAATTCTATGTTGAATTAACTCTGATGAAATTCAAATAAAATATTTTAATTTTTCTTTAATAAGAAATTTATTTCATCACAAAATGTCGTTTTATTAAATTTATATTTCTGTGTTTTTATAAAGTGAAAGTTACTGTTTTTGTCTCATAGAAAATATATTTTCATATGAAACTTAAATACATGTGAAATATCTTTATATGTATTGTGGTATAAACAAATTTAAGAAAATTCAAATATTAATGTCCACATGAATATTTTATAAAGTATCATAGGCTGTAACATAATGAACCTTTGAAATATGCAGTGTATTTTCATACATTAATTTAAGGAGTTGTCTTATGAATCTTACAATTTTAGTTTTTGTTATATAGTTACTCTTAAAATGCTCATTTTTATTCTAGCCTGTTTTACTTAATCCTTTAAGTGTTGTTTATCATGAGCAAATGCATGTAACATTTTAAACCAATTATCATCATTTAACCTACAACAGTCTAAAGAATGTATTAGAAAAACACTCCTAAATTCTTATCTCTCCATCAGGTGACCTCAGAAAATGTAGATGTGTCCTATTTCATTATCTTTTCTTTTTTTTTTTTTATTTAAAAGGAAAAAGAGAAAAAAACAGAATAAAACAAAACAGTGTAAGGGTACAAGTAATACAGAACTACAGAAAAAAAAAACAGTAAGATATCACCAGTTAATAGATTACACACTATCATCTTTGAAACGGTGATTCAGTTCACAGGATCAAAGCATATGAAGTGAACATTCAAAGAGTGAGACTTCATTATCTTTTCTTCAGTCTCCATTTGAAGGTTCTTTATCTGTATGTATGTACTTTGCGAGTATCAGAACTTGGTTTTGCTTTCTTTGTCCAATTTTGAGTTATATTTTCCATTACATTCTAAGGAATATAGTGTATCATTCAGATTTTAGAGAGGAAATTATCTCCTGACCCCATTCTATATGGTGCTAATTCTTACTTCATTATTATACTGACATGCACTGCAAACTTTTGTAATGTTTAACATTCTCCATCTCTCCTTGTCAAAAGAGGTTTTTCTTTTTACTTTTTGAACTGGAGTCTGGCTGTGTAGTTGAGGTCAGCCTTAAATTCGCTGTATTGACCTTGCAGTGGACCTCCTGCCTCAGTCTCTGGAGTGGTAGACTTATAGGCAGGTGCCACCATGCCTGGCATAAGACATTTTGGAATTAGGGTTTCTAAGCAGACTGAGTCTTTTATCATCTATCCCTATGGTGTTGATTTCAGTTGCAAGAGGAGGTGACGAGAAATGAAAAGACACAAGGCTAGAAATTATAACAATATTTTAATTCATATTTTGTACTTGAAGAACAATCATTCCTGTGTGGATAAACTGGAATGCTACATATTGCTGGTGGGAACATAAAATAGAACAGCTGCGATATAAAACAATTATATAAAATAGCTTCTTCAAAAAGTTAAGTGTAGACTTACACAACCCAGCAATTCTCCTGGGTACACACCCAAAAGAATAGAAAACAAGGACTGGAACAGATATGTTTACATGCGTGTCTGCAATAGCATCATTCACAAATGCCAAAAGGTAGAAGTAACCCAGTGTCCATCCCTTCAGTGGATGAAAGGACAAATAAAGTGTGGTGCGTACATATAATGGAATAGCATTTGGCATTGAAAAGGAGGGAATTGTAACACAGGCCATGACCTGTAAGCATTGGTACATTTTATGTTAAATGAATGAATTTAAGTAAAAATACTGTATGTGTAATTCCATTATATATATAATCTAGGAGACTCAAGTTCATAGGGACTGTAAGGATTATGGTTACCAAAGATTAGGAGGAAGGATGATTGGGAGTTAGTGTTAATGGGTACAGAGTTTCTATTTTAGCTGACAAAAGTTGTGAAACAATGTAATAGCAAGCCTAATGCACATCTTAATGAAAATGTATTTACCAGTGTTGCTTGATAACCAGATGTACATATAAATATGTAATTTGGAAAATGTCATTATATTGAATGCTACATGGTAACATGGTAATGAATGTACATAAAATTTGCACTGGAAATTCTGTTTTTTTAATATTTGTACTTATACGTTATTCAACATTTTGGAAAATATGCCCTGTGGTTTTCAAGAGAACTATATAATTAAATGTTTGCCATTCATAACAGTAAATTTCTTTTATTCTCCTTTTTTACATCACCCTTGCTCTTTTAAAGAGATTGTTAGATGGGACTGGGGGGTTTAGCTCAGTGGCTTAAATGCTTGCCTGGCAAGGTGGTGAGTTCAATCCCCAGTACCACCAAAAAAAAATTTATTTTTAGAATATACCAAGGTAGTTATTACCTTGTCTCATAAGTTTAGTATGTTTTAGAGACCACAAGCCAGTTAATGAAAATTACTGAAGGGAAACAAAATGAATTACTCTGGAATGTGATTTTTAAGAGGAGTGGGCAGTCATCATAGGAGCTACAGCCTAACTGTGTTTAGCGGCAGGCCATACAGCCAAATGGCAGAGCGGGCCTTGGATTAAATCAGACCTACACACCGGGTGGTGCCTTGCTCACTGGAAGCAAGAGAATACCTCTGACAAGCAGCTTGCTCTTTCTCAACAGCCAGAGCCTTTTAAAGAGACAGAACCAGTTATGAAATTAATATTTTTTAAAATTTAAGGATAAACTGTTCCTCCCTTCTCAAGAGGTAAACTTAGTTGGTAGAGAAGTTTTCAGTTGCTTCAACAAGCTGCATCACTACCATCTTGGACGTAAAACAGAAGATGTTAGAAGCAAGTTCAGCAATTCAGCTTGTGAGCAAGGGATAGTATTCTTAACAGAAATGATCATCTGCCTTCAAATTTGAATTCTTCCTACTTCAGATCAGAAGTAACTAGGTTGGCATTTTCTGAGCAGGGAGGAAGAAGCTAAGGGCAAATGCAACTGGTTTAATTATAGCTTTAGCGTTTCAGAATAGAGCAGTAATTGTGTTTTATCCTTCATCAAACATTTATTTCAGTATGCATTCTGCAGGCCAGTTATTATATCTCTATCCAAATTAAAACCATTCTATTTACTCATTTGTTTTGATAACTGTATAATTTAGAATCAAGAGGTTCTTGAGTCAAGATCACACGATAAAGAGATAAGGACCTGGTGATCAGCCCATAATGGCACAGTGGGTGAAGCATGCTTTGGATTGCTCTTGTTATTGAGCAGAAGCCTAATTTGGGCTGGGGGTATAGTGGCAGGGTGTGCTTCGCATGCATATGGCCCTTACCTCAAAACCCACAACTACTCCCTCCCAAAGGTGGAATGGGGTCTTCAGTTTAGAACTTCTTTAGGCCACCAGTCACTATACTGTTTTACTACTGGATTTGGACTTTGAAAGCAAGTGTCATGCTGTCTTATAGTTTTCTCAAAGCCTATGATTCAACTCAAGATTATATACTTTTTAATATGTACTCTTTGGACTTCTTTGTTCTGTTTCATTTTCTCATCCTTTACTGCCCAAGCATAACTCACACACCATCTTACTAATTTCCTGACCATGTACCTTTTCTGGTCCTCTCCTTTCTTCATTCACCATACCCACCAAGATACCTAGTTATGCCTATAGTTCATTGGAGAGTATCTGTACATATTGTATGAAAATGAGAATTTTGTGTATTCTCCAACTTCGAATTATACCGGTCACCTTGTTGACACCTTCTTGTCATGCCTTCTCTTTGATATTAACATGTTAAAGTTTCAATTTAAACAAAAAGCTTTTTCCTATCCAGGGATTTAGCTCAGCAGCATAAACACCAGCTTGGTGGGCTTGAGGCTGTGAGTTTGATCCCTGGTACCCCTCAACAAAGCACAACAAAACAAAAAAAGTTCTTCCTAGCTTCTCTGTTTCCCTGTTAAAGACTTTTAAGAAAATTTAAGAAACATACTCTTCAAAATCTCCCATGACCTTGATCTAAGCTAAGTCACCACTTACTTATATCTTAGTTCATGAGTTTATTTCATTTTAAATATATTTATTCAAGAAATGAAAGAACTGTTGGTTTTTTATTTCTTAGGTTCTCAACTAAGTTCATTTTATGTTTACTGCAAGTTTTAAGTTACTTTCAACCACACTTAAGTGTCATGTTCCCTCAAGTGTGTCATGGTTGATCCCTAAAACTTTTAAAATTGTTTATTCTATAAATATGAAACTAGAAGTACAAAAGGTAGAAGAAGTTATTTTTGCATAGACTTCTAATCTTTACAGCCGTAGGATGTACTCACTGCTTTGCTTGTACATAGCACGGTTTCATTGTTTACTTGAAGTATTTGCTCTGTATTTGGTCTGCGTTTTTGTGTCTATTCACATCAAGGCAGATTGAAATTATAAATACACATGGTTGTTTAGTCAAGGTGGCTCTATAATCAGATGAGATCACCTGGCGAAGGGCGAGGACAGAAGGAGGGTGACGTGTGTGAGCTTAACCCCATTACTGCTGAAGATTCAGCCTTGGCCTGTCCTTTACTGTCCATGCTATTTTTCTCTGGGATGACCCATCCTCTATCCTTACTATTTTGCTGGCTTCTAATCCTGCTGGGACATTTCCAACTTGGCTACCTTGCTGTGACATCAGATTTAGCATGTTCCAAAGTTAAACACCCTCTAAAATCAATTCCACTCCTGGGAGTTTGGGAGACTTAAGTATTTTGTCTCCCAAATCCAAACCCCATAACTCAAGATCTTCACTTCCTTCACATTCTCTTTCATTAGCAACTTCTGTTAATAATAAGGTTTATGTTAATAAATCTCAGCCTTATGAATTTAATTGTGTGAATACCATTTTTGTTAAAGAATAGTTTATTAAGATGCCCTAACTATAGTTAAACTTCACACATGTAAAATGAGTGAGAACACTTGTTGGAATGTGATATTCCTTGTGTTATAAGTTGTAAATTGAATTTGGTATTTGTGAGCTGATCTTATGAATGAATGACAATAAGTTGCAGAGATGGTATGATTTGAGTTGGTTTTAAGTGAAAAATATTTTGCTGTAGAGAATGTAAACTTCCACATTTTTAATACCTTTTATCCCCCACTACTTTCCCAGTCACTAAAATAGTAGCACTCATACTGTATCACTCAATAAATCTTGGTTGAATAAATGGATGTAGTGATTGTAGTTGATATCACTGCTACATAGAAGGCATCATACTGCAGAGGTTACATGGTGATTTAATATCACTCCTGAGAACTATGTAGTTTGTCATTATCACCACTTCCATACTCCAAGAAATAGCTGAATCCACACATATCTGGAACACAATAGTTTAAAAAATAATTCTTGTAGGATAGTCTTGAGCTCTTGGCTTTTTGGTCAATTGTACAGGTAGAAAAAATTTTAAAATACTGTATTCTGACTCCTGATTTTGACAAGAAAGGATAGACTTCTTACTCTTCTGTAAGTGCAATTATAAACACTGAATAAGTATAATTATACAATAATGCAAGAGGTACCAGAAAAATTGCAAGGGAATAGAAACACTAACTGGGGACACCAAGCCTAGGCTGAATGAACTATTTAGTTGTTATACATCCTTTGACTCCACCATTAACAGACATGTGACCTTGGCTTGATGTCCTGACCACAAGCTGGCAGTGAGGCAGTCCTGTGTGGCTCATTCCTAACCAGAGGGAACTTAGTCTTGCTGATAACACCAGGAGACCCCGGTTCCATCAGCAGAGACAATATATCAGAAGTCCACCAGCAAAAATCCAGAGGAGCCCTTCACTCATCTGTCACACTTGAGACTCCCCTCATCTGCTAAGGGAGTTAGGGAACCAGCAACAATAACTGACCTAGGAAATCTGTCACTGTGTGCCAGAGACTCCTTTCTCTCAGAGGTATCAAGTGGGCTGATGTGGGGAAAATTCTTCCCCTTATATTAGCACGATATGGGGTCACTGAAAGCCCATGTGGCATCAGACAAATGGTAGTGACCAAAACAATAGACAAACAAAAGGTTCTGCAAACTAACAAACCAGCTTTGGAATCTGAGTCCATAAATATAAGGTGCGACCTACACGCTAATTCTGCAACTCTTTACAATTACTGATAGAGAAACAAGATAGTGACAATGGAATTCAGTCTATGTGGAAACAAAAAGGAGATAAAGACCTAGTTGATGTATCTCGTATGAATACAGCTGTGAAAATTATTAATCAGAAAATAAATTGGAATGTATAATACATAGCAATTATGCTAGGGTGGTTGGATTTCATGTTTTCTAGTTTATAATTTTAAAATTGTAAAGCCAGCTGTGGTGGTGCATGCCTGTGGTGGTGCATGCCAGTTCCAGCACTGTGGAGGCTGAGGGAAGAAGATTTCGCCATGAATTGGAGGCCAAATGGCTACATAGTTTAAGGCCAGCTGAATGACACAGTGAGACCCTATCTCAAAAATAAAAATAAAAATAATATATATTTCTTTTATAATTAAAACTATTCTCCCTCCAAACACTCGTAAGACTGTCATTGAATGTTATCACTATAAAAGTTTTAAAATTTCTGCCTCAATTATATTCTGATGAAATGTAATATAATCTCCTCCATCCAGACTTTCTCCTCCAGAACAGAGGCTAGATCTTAATTCCCTACCCTCAGCATCTCTCTGAGCTGTTGACAAATAGTGGCTACCTAATAAATAATTGTTCAGTTAACTGATGAATATGAATGAGTATGATGAATATTAGAATTGTAGATTATTTCAGGTAAAATAAAGGAAGCACATCTGATATTATTGGAAAAGTATACAGTGCCAGAATTGTTTCTGTTAGGGAACTGTTTATATCTCTTCTTAACATAGTCTAGGAATTATTGACAAATACTTATTTAGCATTACTTCCATAATGTATGCATAGATCTAGCCACTATAAGAAAACATACAAAATGCCAAAGGCTTTTTAAAAATAGAAGAATAATGAAGACTAAGAAGTGAGCTCACCTTACCCTTTTCCCACCCTTGATAAAAGCATCTTAAATCTTCCTCAGATCTTTGTGGCACTTAAGTTAACACAAACCCCCAGGAATGATGGCCCTCTGGAAGAAGTTAAGCTTGTTAAAGTCACTCCTCCTATCCTAAATCACATCAGTAAAGCAAAACCTCCCTTTGCAAAACGAAGATGCCTCTGTGT